TTGATATTTTTTCTTGCTTAGGTTTTTCTTACCTTAGCCATTTAATATGAGCAGGTCAGTAAAGAGATGATAATTTTGAAGATGAAGATGATTATGAGGATGAGATTTAAAGACTAAGAAAGCAACAAGTTACAAGATGAAAAAGGCAGGAGTTGAAAAGATGTTCAGGAAATCTTTTATGGCCTGCAAAAGAGTTGAACGGTTGAAATAACTTTCCAAATTGATTGCTTCAAAGTTAAATAAGATGAACATTTTTCAAGTTAACTCCAAGTCTAACCAAAATTGGTGTTCACTGTAAGAGTGGGAGAAGACCAACAATGAACATTTGCCTCCTTCTGTCCCACCACCGACACTCTCATCTTGATGTTCATCTCGTTCCTCTGGTTATCCTCTCATCGCCAGTCGCCCCCGTCATCGTCAATCCCATTGATTCACTTTCTCATCGCAATGTCAAAGTGTTAACAGCAATTTGCATAAGATTAAACTGCAATCAATCTAACAACGTTTGAAATGCATTTTTTAACGAGGTTTTTAGCCCTGCAACTTCATCTACAAGGTCATCGAAAGTAAACCCAAAAGTTAGCAACCATTTGGATAAGAAGAGTTAAGACTAAAGAGTTATCTTCATCATCATCATCATCATCATCATCTTTTTATTCCTGTTCTAGCTTTTTTTAAGTTACAGCTTCTGTTGCTGCTTCTGGATCTGTTTGTTGTCTGTTTGTTGAAAGTTGATTATTTTACACACGCAATAAATTGTTGCAGCAGTTGCTGATTTGTATTGTCTATTGTCTTCAACTGTAATAATCACAATCATAACAATATTAATAGTTTACAACACTGCATGTTACACCCTTTAACCTCTCACTGTTGATTGCTTCAATAGCAATTGATCTCAATGTTGTTTAAATCTTTGTTTTTTCAGTCTTCTAAAGGTTCAATATTTTTGCCACAATTTTTTAACCCATTTTTCATTTACATTTTCACAATCAATTCATCTATCAGCGACCACAATCAGAATGGATTATCCAGAAAATTAATCAAAAGTCAACATTTCAAGTTAAAAGACAATTTTGATTCGTCTTTTTGCCTTCTTTCAATTAAATCTGTTCTGCTCATTAAATTATTAGTGCTAAATTGTTATATTCAATTGTACAAGTTAACTATTAATACTTGGCAATAAGAAATTGTTTTCCCTGAAAAACAGAAGAGTTTATAATTTTTCCTTTTCCTGATTTTCATCCAATTCATGAGACTTCAATATACTCATTTTGATATATATTTATATTAATCTGTATTATTATGGTTAGTTAGTCAATATGTGAGTTATTGAGGGCAAAAAATTGTCTTCAATTTCTTGGTGTTTCCCTGGATACCAATTTAAGGTTAAAGTGTATGTTGGGTCCAAAAAAGTATGAAATAAATTGTTGTTGATGAACATCAATTGAAAGTCATGGGAAGGTTAACAGTGAAATAAATAACAAATTTAAGATAAGTAAATAACTTTAGATTGACATAGATTTGGTTTCCCCTTTTCTTGTGATTTATCATAAAAAGTGGACCAGAGACACAAAACTGGACTTGAATTTCATCTGCTATTATAATATTATCATTGTTATTATTATTCATAGACATTATTATAACCATCAAGTGAGTCAAATAATATTACTATTAAGATTTACTATTGATATTTATATGTATAAATATCCCAATAGAGCTGGGATAAGATGAGACTGACCCAAAATAACCCATTTTTATGTTTGCTTCAAGACAAAAGCTAAACATTGAACCTTCCCATGTAACATGATGATTGACCTTTTCTTTGTTTTTATTCACTTTCATTCCTCATCATCTTCATCATTATCATCCTTAATGCCTTATTTAGTATCGTAAACACTTGTAGCCTCATCTTTGAACCAAAAAAACGCATCTTCTTCATCACCAAAAATTCTCATCTTCTTTTCACTCTTTATTCATGTCTTATTATGATTATTATAAGAGATGAGTGAGAAAAGTAATAATCTTAATTTACAATCAATTAATGTCACTGAACATCCTGTGGTTAAGAGTTGGCTTGTGAAAAGTGTTGCTCTTGTGAACATTATTTCATATTGAATAGTTTATATATATTCAGGGTGAGCATTCATTTTAAATAAACTACAGTCTTTTCTTGAATTTTGTGTGAACCTTTTTCACCATCATTTTATCTTCCCTATCATCATCATTATCATTATTTTAACTTCTTTACTCAAGGTTGGATTGGTAAAAGTTTTGAGAAACCAATATTTGTCTAAACCTTTATTCACAAAATATATATTTTTTACCATTATGTTGTTATTATTTACTTTTTTTCTTCTTCTTTTGCTTGCACGTCCGCTTCACGTATGATAATAATAATGAATATCTATAATTTAAGTAAATATTATTGGAAATAATTGTAGTATTCTACCACAATATACAATTATTTGCAGGCTAACCAAACACTGATCGGTGTGTGATTGAAAATGGGGAGATTTAATCCAATGACATATAACACCGTATAACTCCTCTGGTATGTTACACTCAACTTTATCTAAAAAAGGTTCAAGTGACAATCAACAGCTTCTGTTTTTCACTTCTTTCATTGTCTAACATGGTTTCATCTTTTGTTGAAATCCTTCTTGAAATCCTTCTGAACTCCATTTGGAAACTTCTGGCTTAGTCAAGATTGAAAGTGAAACTTTTCAAGAAATTAGTTGCTGTAGAAGATAATAATCACAAAAATAGTAAGCAATAATCATTAAAATTCAATGTTGGATGATAATTTAACAAACGGAAAATTGATTTTCAAATTCATTTATACTCTTCAATCATATGATTCAACGGTTTTTGTCACTCGCTATTGTTTCTTTATTGAACGTTAGATGGCAATCATGCAAAATTAACACTTTTTTCCCAATCATTTATCAACAAAATAATATTTTAAAGTGAATATTGAAAGATGATTAATTGAATCTGTTTTATGTTTAACCATTAATTTACTGGACCCAATGGAGTACCCGTTCAATGTCAATACAACCGAGTGCCAGTCAATTTCCTTGTTGGTGTGATTTCAGTGAACAGTTGCATATCACTGTTAATCAAGACAACTAATGTACAATCATTAAGTTAACCAGTGAAGAAGAAATGGTCGGAATGCGAGAAAGGTGAGAGTTGAGATGATAATGATGATGGTGATACAAAATATTTGAATAGTTGAGACTGTGTTGACAAAATGATTGGGAAAAATAGTGAATCTTAAAGTGGCGTTGATCATTATTATAATTATCTTAATGATTATCAGAGTTTGATGGGTTGATTTGGACATTTGTTAATCAATATCAAGCCTGTTTCCAAGGGTTGCCAACATTAACAGAGTTTGCTGTGTGAAACTTAATTTAATGGTATAATTAAATCCATTTTGTTATCCTTTTCTTGTGGAAACATTTACCAAGAAAAAAAAGCTTTTCCAATGAAAATCCTGTTTTTATATCATCATGAAAGCTCTTTTCAATTGAATTGGTTAACAGGTTGAAATGAGTTCTTTACCTTTTTTTATCATTTCTATTGACACTTTTTTTCTTCTCCTTCCATTAACATTGAATTTAAATTGTCTGGAAACTGAATATAAATCTGATAAATACATCAGTATATTAGTTACTTTGGACGTCTTTTTTCACCATTTCTGTGTCTTAAACAAACTTCACATTTCATGTAATTTCAACCCTTTTATGCATCTCTAACCATTTTCATTTAGAGTTGAACTGAATCAAGCAAAAAGGTTAACAAGAAAGTCTCTGATTAATTAAAGTCTAAGACATTAAACATTCAAATAAAGTGACAAGTTGAATGTTGAACTGATTTGTGTGTTTGTACATTTGTGTATATTTCAACCTCAAATTAGTTCCCAATCATTTAACAATTTAGCAGAATCAGATTGAACATAAATCGTCGTTTTTTCTTGTCCTTTTCACATTATCTTGTTATACTGTTGTATAGTGAAGTTAACATTGAATTAATGATCGCTAAACAATTGTTGATTCACTTGACTTGGTCATCAACAGTCAGTTGATTGACAAAGAGATTGAATGATTGAGAATCAGATTGGATTATATTTAAATGAAGTGATCGAGTGAAAATGATATTTTGTTGTTGATATTTTATTGGAAGAGGAAAAGGTAATCACATAATGAATTAATATCTAATTTCATCAATTGTCTCATGATAATTGAAACCATGTTAAACAGTTACTGTTTCAATTTACGTTTAACCTTATGCCTTGAATTATAATATAACATGACTTAATCAACTTAAAGCTTTTACTCAACACAAAATTCATACATTTTGTTCACTCTCTTGATCATTTGGTTGGTATTAACGTGTGGATGTAACACGCAATTATCATCTCAACAATAATAATCTTATCATTAAATTTAAATACATTTAGATACAACTTAGCGCAATGTTAAGCAGAAACTAAATTAAGGTGAAAAACTCACAAGGAAAACAACTTGGAGTTCACTTTTGATCAATACATTGAATACATCATTGACAATGTTATCAATATTTAATTTTAAATTGTAATTTACAATTATAGTTGACAACATTGAAACTCTGTTCTCGACTTATTTCATGGATTGTGATTTTTAAAAAACAAATCCATGATCAAGAATTTTAACCTTCCAAGTTGGCAAGATTAAAAATTAGCTGAAATCACTTCAAAGACAACCAAAATATCTTCCACTTCCTATGCAGATGAAACCCTCGACAGATTTTCATAACTCAACTCTATTCATGATACCATTGTCATTCAAATCTGGATTAGGTGTTACGTTCACCTCACTTGTAAGAAAAATGCTTCTCCTTGTTATTTGAAACTCAATGCAACTTTGATTTTCTGAACAAAGTTGATTATACTCTTGAAATGATTATATCGGCCAGTCTTTCTTTGTTCTCATTTTCTGATTAAGAATTCATCTAAATCAAATTAAGTTGATTATCCTTTTTATGATGCTCATATGTTGATTAGTTTCAAGTTGTATTACAATTAGAGAAGTGTAAATTGCACTTGAATCGTCTGTAACATTACTTTAGATCAGTGTTCATCTTGATGATGCTTTTATGATTTTCATTTTTTCTTCCTTTTCTTCAAAGTCGCTTCCATTAACAGGCTTTTCATCTTTTCTTGTCCTTTTTGATAAAATTCATCAGCCTTTCTTTAGATCACAATTTACCTTGAAGCACGTAATATTCAATTAAGTATCGACAATTGACCTGTAAAATGTCAAACAAAAAAACAATTAGCTTAAATAACATTTGTTAAGGTCACTTCTTTTAAACAGATCAATGAAACCAAATTTAAAAATCTGTAACAATTTACTTCCAGACTTAAATCAACTTTCACCTAGAATTTATCTGGCAAATTAAGCTGAATAAGAAACTGTGATTCAAATTAGAATAAGAAAATGAAATGTAATTCAGTTTCACTCAAAAAGCACATAAAAAATACATACCTTTTGTTTTGTTGATGGGCTGTTTGATTGATTTAATTAACTACAATTTACAGCTTAGGTGGGGCTTAAGATGTGAATTATTTAAACAAATAAATAAATCACTCAGAATTCTGGTCAAATGTTGATTGAAATTAATTTGATTATTTATTACTTTTGCACTTTGATATTACTTGCTGCCTTATATCAAGTTTTAGTTTAATTACAGCTTCTCTTACATATACTCTTACTTCTTAATTCATTTGTAATTCACTGTAATTCAATGTTAAAACTTTGAGTTATCCGAAAAAAAATGTTCATCTATTCTGTTCTATCGTTTCAAATGAAAAGATTGCTGCTATTTTTGTCAAACAATTTGCTAGGGTAAACCCAGTTGTCGATTAACACAACTTAATTAACAGCAGACTTATCTTGTTCAAAGTGTTCAACGTTTCAACTGATAAGTTGAAAATCATTGGGTCAGGCTAGGAAACTTGATGATAACTGATATTAAAAGAGACTTTTTCTCACACTTTTACTTCAGTCCAATACTATTATCATGAAGTAAATAGTGTTTGTTGTAAAAGTGTTTCCCCTTGAAAAAAAGGGCAAAAGGCTGCCAGAATTTTTGGATGAAAAAAAAGTGAGGAAAGGGATGATCGTGATGATTAAAAGAGGAGGTGAAAAGAAGCAAGAAAGAAGCACTTTGAAAGAGAAGATTGCTGTTAATGATAATGTTTGATGATAATAGTGACGATGAGATTGTAAATTTGAATGTAGCAGTTAAATCAAGGTAATTATTGACTTTAATCCGATGGCAGACAAGGATAAAAATCATTATTTTGTATCAGCCTTTTGAAAACTTTTCCATGGATTTTTGTTTTATCGTGAAATCCAAATTATGGTAACTTGCTTGCTCCAACCATAAGCTTGCCCTGTAAGAGAGGTTGGAAATAAGAAGAAAAAAAGAGTTAAATTTTAAGTAAAAAAAGAGTAAAAATAAATGAAGTTTATGATCATTATTGAAACTATGTCATCACCCCTTGATATCAAGTTACATCTTTTTACCATCTTTTTTTCACTTTGAAGAAAGCAGAAAAAGATCTGAGCAATTCACTTTTGATAATAATGATAGTTATGCTAAACATAATAGTAATCATAGTAATGTCTCTTAACCTGAAAGTATTTATCAAACAGTAAAGAAACTCATCCGATCAGTTGAATCACATGAGAGTTGAAGTCCTTGAAGTAAACCATTAACTCTCCCATAAACCCTTTGGTTTCTTTTCAATTTAATAAACCAATAAACTGATCATCTCTTTTTTTGGGTGTAAATCTTTTAGTTTACTCCTTCACGTTCCAAGGCTTGTTTTTCACTTGCTTGTCTGCAGCTCTTGCAGGTAGACTCATTTAAAACATTGATAAATCTAACATAAAAAGAGAGAGAAAAAAAAGAGTTAAAAAAGAGTTGAAAGTAAAAACCAAATATGAAAAGCTCAATGAAAGAAATAACATCTAGACAATTTACGCTTTCCGTTTATCAATGGTGTTGATCAGATAGTTTCAAATTCGAGGTCTTTCCTTTGAGGGAAAATTTTGCCTGCAAATAAAAACAATTTCAATTATTAATTGAAAACAATGTTACAAAACAATAAAAGAAACATTTTAAGCTTCAACGAACATCGAAACAACGTGCTATTGATAGACAATGAAAAGACAATAATTTCAGATTCAGATTTTCATTTCACCTGTTGACACTGAAATTTCATCGACTAGATAAAAACATAAACGCACATTGAAAAGCTTGAACATCATTGAACCGTAATTTATCCGTAATTTGTTTCTTTATCGACCAATACTTCAACCATCGCAGCTACATCAAGTGAAAATGTGTTGGTAAAATGAAACTGTTAACTGTTCGTCTAGAAGCATGTAAGATGATCAGATGTTTCCATTAACTTTGTTCACATAGCTTTTCATACATTTCAGCCATTTGTCTCTTAGGCTGGAAAGGGGGCGACCTTGCTGTTAGATAAAAGGATTGAAAAGGATTAATGATTAGCCTAGGCAACAAGTATAACAAAAGCTCACCTTCATTATTTGATCCATACCAAAAGATGTAACAATTAAAAGCACTATTAAAGAAACAGTAGAAGAGGTAAACAATTGTTGATTCAGTTGACAATAATTGAACAAATAATCACCATTGTCCTTCATTGTCTTCATCCTATGGTGTTAACAGGACATAAAAACCAAACATGTTTACTATTTGTTTTTTTCCTGGACTTGAAATTCATTTCCATTGTAATTAATTGCTTACCAAATGACATCTCCTTAACGGTTTGATTAATTCCTTAACGGTCATCTTAACAGCCTCAAAGGTTCACTTAATTGTCACGGTAATAGGTTTGAATTAATGAATTAATTGTTAGTTTAACCATATCAACAAGTTAACACATCAAACTGACTGTCTGTTTGCCTTTAACCCATCGTTTGGTAACATTGCAACATCGCCTGTTTCCGAGCCATTATAAGGCGCGCCATATTTAATTCACCCTAAAACCATTTTTAACCAAACTATTAAACTAACCAATTAACATCATTATTAGTAACAATTATTAATATTAGTCTATTATAATAATTTAATCTCATTGGTACATTGAAGCAGAAATAACTGTGGATAAATATTTGAATATCGAGGTAAAAACAAAAGAGAGTCAAGAAACAAAAAAAAATAGATGATCCATTAAAGGTAACATCAATGTTTATCATTAACAAACAGTTATTATTGATTACAAGGTTAAATGAGTTTAAATTGCGTGTTGAAGACATTTCTTGGATAAAATAATTGTCCATAATGATGATTAACTTAATTAAAGGTGAGATGGAAGCAAAGACAATAGATTTAAAGTTGTTTGATTGATTGCATTTAATTAAAACCGATACACAACTGTGTTGATCAAATTTGCTTTTTGATCAAAACCTTTACAACCTTTAATCTACCAAAAGTAATAAGAATCATATTTTTAATGAATTAATCTCAAGTTGATTGAACTTGTTGCTCTTTGATATTAGATTTAATATCAATCCAGAGACAATTATATTACTTAAAGGATTGATTAGCAAGATTAATTGTGAACATAGCAATTGCATTACATTTTTTTGTATTATCTTAAATCACTCGATTAAGTGTTAATCTTTTAAAATATTGAATTAACATGGCAAGACATTTGATTACAACTGGGAATCCCTATTAAGGTCAAGAAAAGTTAATCTCATTAATTACATACAAGCTTGATATATGAGTTGATGAAATGTGTTTTAATGATTATCTTTCAATTATTATTGTTATTAGTTTGATGAACTCGCATATTAACAGTTGAAAAAGGTAGAGTTACAATTAGACAACATCAAAAGCCATTATTTTTAATTGTAAAGGCAGGTTAACAACATTGAACTTGATTTAAGTGTTGAATACAAAACTGTTTAACAAGACTTTGATTATAATAATTTAACCAAACGGAATAATAATTTGCTAAATTGTTTCCGTAAAAAATATCATTTTAACAAATTGTAAATCAAAATCATCTTTCACTCAATTACAACCAATAACCAGTAAAAAATGTTAATCAAAGTATTAGATTGATTGGGTTGGAAATGTGAATCATTTAAAAGCAGAAAAAATTATCCAAATTTTCAATTTGATCATGAATTTTGATGGATTGGAAAAATGATTAAACCAATTAAATTAGATGCGATTAAAGGGTTGATTAGCGTCATTTGGTTCAACAGTTGAGATTGAAAATGGTTGAAGAGTCTTTAAGAGACAAGGAAAAAATGCTTTGATTATAATGATTTTTCATGAGCTTCATAATTGAAGATATAAGTGTAAGAGTGCAATTTACGTCTAACAGGGCGATAATTTGCTCCTCTGCATTCAGAACTTTTCATTAAATCAGAATTTATCATCATTATCAAGAGATTCTGCAAACATTTTAAGCTTTCATCTTCATCTTTTCACCTAATTACATTCAATTGGGATGCTAAGACAGACGAAGAAGAAGAAGAAGAAAAAACAATTTAAATTAACAGGTTAATATGCATAGTCGATTGATTGTAAGAATGGATTGAAATGCTGTTTAAGGGCATCACAGAGAGACTTGATGATAATATTAAATAAGGTTAAGATGATGATGAAGATGATAAAGACTTAAACATACGTTAATAATAATCAGTTGTAATAATTTGGAGGCCTTCAGAGTTGCTATCAACTTTGTATTTAAACCTTCAACTGAATTTATGAACCTTGTAAAGACTGGAAATGGTGAACACTCATTTAAATCACTTTGATTGTTGTCATTAGCTTTTTTGTTTAATGTTCAACTTTTCAATTGTTCAACCATAACTAAGTATATGATAATGTGATGAACAAATTGATTAGTTTGATTTACAGGCTTTTAACAACAATCAATGTTCCTTGGGTAAAAATTTTGTCCGTCTTTGCGTTCAACCAGCGTTTACACCTTTATCTGATTTGAATTTTGGTAAATTGTCTAATTGAGACAATTTAAGATTAAAAGTTGAAGCCAGCTTTAAATTGGCTTCAGGTTAAGATAAGTTGCTTTTAAATTAGGGTTAAATCATTTTGTCAACAATGTAATTCATTGTTTGAAATCAACAGACCAAATACATAAAGCACATAAATCAAGTTGCTTGGCTTTAATCACTCAACAGTCAATGTTTTAATTTAAATCTCGTCATTTAACAGAATCGTTTTTGATTGTAATAATATTGTCATTTGTTGTTGTTACAAATAGTTACATATTTTTCAACAATTTAACAATTGTTGATATCAATTTTAACTGTGGGTTCACTTTGCCTTGGGACAAGGTAAATTGCTTTCAGAACAATAATTAACTAGCAATTTGAAAATGAATGTTATTATGGTTAGTTGGTTGAAATTAATGGGTTCAATTGAAACAATTAAACAACAATCAAACTTTGTTTCAAAGATGATCTTTAAATGGTTTCAGAAAATTTGATTGTTTAAAGCAGAGAAGAAGATGATGAATAAATGAATTTTATATTGTAAAATTGGTAAATTTTAATGAAGTTACGGTAAAATGATTATTATTAATGTGTGTGTCTTTGTGTGTTTATTATCAACATTAAATTGTATTTATCACGTTATTCAATCAATTGTTAGGTCCAAAAGGGTTGTCACAATGATTAAAATATATTTTATTTTCATATTCATTTATATTTTATTTTTTATATTGTCTCTTCTCTGTTCAATGTTTGCTTCTCATGCAAATCACAATTAAAGACACGCAATAAGCAATACATTTGAATACATTATCAGATAATCTTAACCCTTCTCACCCTTAACGTCTTTACATATTATTTTATTATAAATGATGAGAAATGATTGTTTTCAATATTGTTACGAGTTAAGGAGAAGGTAGAAAGCAAAGAAACATGAACAAAGAAATGATTAACCAGAAAATGTTAACCCTGTTCTTTGTTTTGTTTATGAAGCTCCTTTGGTTAATTATGATTCGCGATTATTGATTGTTCCTAATGATTGTTGGTTAATCATGTTTTAATGCTTTAATTGTAAGACTGTAATCTTAAATTAGGATCAAACAATTAACTAGTAACAAGGCAACAACAACAATCAAAGGCCTGACCCTGTTAGGCCTGACACTTTCAGGTTTATGCTTTTCCTATGTTTACTGGTTTACCGGTTAAACCAGCGACTCTTTTCAATCCATTGATTAAAACCTAATAATGACAGTTTTTTCTGCTTCTGCCATTGCTATCATAATCAACAAGGTAATCATGGTGATTAAAAAAAGGGTTTCACTGTGGTTAATTACATTAAGAAAGGAAAAATTGGATTTGGTTAATGTGTGTGTGTGAGTGTTTAAAACCATCTCAAGATGAGATAAAAACATTGGGGTTAACAATGGTAAAAGGGTTAGATAGGTTTGTTAAATGTAATAGGATGATGATGAAGATGATAAGGTTAAACATAAATCAATACAAGATTAACCTGTTCAAGTTAATTACAAGATATGATTAACTCGACTGATCAGTGATCACAAATTGATTAACAAAAATATGTATGTGGTTGGCCAAGTGTGGGTTACACAGCTTGTGTATTGTGTGTAGGATTGGGTTATTAAATGAAAGAAATAACTTTCCAACTTGATTTTTCTGGTTACTTGGAGTTACACTCAAATATTTGTATAATATTAGCATCACCAGTTGATAATAATAATCATAATTGTCACTTGACTGTCCACACACAATCAAAATAAAATAAAAACACACCTTAATCCAAATATAAAAGTAAGGAAAGGATAAGATGAACATGAACAAGACTTTACGATAAAAACAGTTGATTATTCCTGTGATTAGATTATTTCCGCATTTTTAAATCCACAAATATGATTAATAAATAGTAAATGACAGCAATTGATTAGATTAAATTGACGTCAATATTATACAATTACACTTTTTTGATTATCAATCAAATGCAATAAGCTTTAAGACATAAACAAAAACAAAACAAACTCTTACGTTACCCTTAACCAGAAACGAGCCAAATCAAGTAGCGGTTTTTTCAAACCAACCAAATCATAACCAGAAATTGTACTTTTTATGGAACAAGAAGAAAATAAATTGTAATTTTGTTTAATTGCAATTTAAACATTCCATCAATGAAGGTCTTGTCTGAATAAATCCTTGAACAAACCTTGAAAATTTTCAGACTCAATGGTCAAGGAGACTGGAAGCGTTGTTGGACAAGCAATGTTTTATTGATACTTAATTATTTAGTCGATTGCAGTATTATTCAACTCTTTTGTCCTTTAATTGTCGTACAATTAGCTAAATGAAAATTGTGTCTTTCAGTGTTTTAATTTAACATTTTATGCCAACTTTTATGGCTAAACTTTAATGGCCTTTTTGTTGAAATTAAACAAGAAACTTTAATGTATTATCATGAAATGGAAACCTTTCAATGTTTTCCCAATTAATTGCAATTCATTTTTACCTCCCTGATTATTAGTTATATTGTAATATCTGAATTTTATTGAACTGGGAGTTGAATTGTTGATGCTGCATTTCAATTAGGATAAAAAGGATAACTAGATGAAAACTTATGGGATTCAGGATCGTAAACATTCAAACTAATTGACATTAAATTGTCTCGCCATTTGTCCAATAATTAACTATTCAATCAATGAATGGTAAGCAATTGAAAGGATAAACAAGACAATAAATGGAAATCATTTTTGGGTTCAATCACAATAAACGATTGATTAAGGTTGAAAATCATTCAGACTAAACATGAAAGTAGTGAAGACATTTTTCATCAATTTCAACCTTTTTTTCTCGTTTAATAACATTTCTAATTACATTATATAGTTATGATTTGCTGACAATTAATCGCAACAATATTTAACTTTAGTGATTAACATTTAACTAAACCGAGGGTCTGATAGGGAAAAGATGCAAACAAATGTAATTTTGTTGAGTATTAAACTCTTGAAAATGATGTTACTGCTTTTTAGCTAAACCTTAAGCTTAAGCTACATTTTACTAGTTTGTTGAGTTAATTCAATCAATTGATTAAAGTCTCTGCTTGATGTCTAACAGTTTAATAGTAATGGTAATGATGATGATGATGATGATGATCAGAAGAAGCAACAGTTAAACAAAAAAGTACTTGAAAATGTTGTCATTGTTAATCCTACTTTGCCATTTCAATTCATAATCAGCAATCTTTACCCATTTTAAAGATGAAAAAACATGAATCTTGGGCTTAACGTGAATAATTTGCCAGCAAAAACACACATTTTTAATATAATTTTGCCATTCATTTGTTTCGCATTTATGCCAATCAATCCTTTTTGGATTTAAAATGATCATAGATTAGGGTAATTTTTTCACCACTCAATGTTCAGTTTTCTGGTTGAAAAGGTAACTTTAACATTATATTTGACCATTTGTAGTGTTAATTGTGATAATAGATCAAGGTTTAGCTTTAGGTTTTGATCTGGATTTGATTTAAGGTGTAAAAGATGATGCTATTTGAAGACGAGTTAATGTAATCAATACATTTCTGGTCAGTCTGTTATTTGAAATATATTTTTTCATCTCACTCTAAATCATTTTTTGGTTGTGGATTCAGTGAAATTGGAAATGTATTTATTACTTTAATAATTGGGTAATAAGTTTAGCTTCTGATGGTGTTAAAGGTTAATCGTAATCACCTCTTTTTGTATATTCATTAATTTAGTTTCTTGACCTGATATTGTCTAGCATTGTGAGGTCATCATTTGAAGATTGTCTGTTGCCTTATAATGCTCACAATTGGATAGGGAAAATGTTGTGAAGTTGATTGTTTGTCTGGTTAAATTGTTAGACAAATATTGGAATAATGTCAAAAAGCATGGAACAGTAATCATGTAACTAACTATTCATCTGTAAAAACGTTGCAATCAACCAGATCGTAAGACTTGAAATAAATGGAGGAAACAGTTTTTTTTATTTTGTTAAAAACAAAGAGTTACCATTCACCCATTATTACCATAGAAACTGATGATATATGATATTTGGATAAGGCAAAAAGATGGTGAAGAAAGGATAAAGAAAACAATAATCACAAAGAGTTAAGATGATAAAGATGATTATGAAGATGGTGGAGATGATGAAGAAAAATATGAAGTAAAAGATGCAATAAAGATGAAGTTATGATGGTAGAGTTGAAGTTAAAATGAACCAGGCCTGAAATAAACAACAAAAAAAGAGGGTGTTGAGGGTCATTTTAACTGTTTGACCTTAAACAACAATAATAAAAAATCTCCTCTTTTTATTCATTACATTTCCATGATAAGTTGTATCTTTGGTTAAACTGGCAAGTTGAAAAATAATAATTGTAATCATAATTTAACAAGAGATTGTAATTAATGTCGTTGGCTTTTTTGGGTTATTTTACCAGACAAACATCGATATGGTTAAGAAGCGAAAAATTTGTTAGTGAAAATAGCCTTATTTGTAAGTTAACTCAGCCGTTATTTTCAGCTAATATTTTTAATGATTTAACGCTCTTAATATTAATATGTTCATCTTTACTATTTTGCTTTTTTTAATTTTCAATTGTATTTAATCTTATTAATTACTGTTCACAAGAGATTTAAAAATTAACTTACTGTCTTTTCATTAATTTGTTGACACTATTAAATTGATTGTTTCACCGTCCATTCCTATCAACAAGCAAGTCAAGCCGTTAACTCAACATTATTTCAACTCCTCCACAACAAAAACTATACCACATCTATTAACATAAACCTGTTGATTTAATTTGTTCAACTCAATAGTATTTGTTATCGTTATTAATTTTATTTGATAACCTTTTCAAGTCATCAGTTAAATTAGTGGAAACAATAATGTTAATAAGTCTCTTTTTGATTTATACATGTGAGCAGCGGATAAAGACTATAATGTGCTTTATGCTAACAATGGCTGCGTAACCCTTTTCAATCAGGTATGGGAAGACCATTTGAAAAAATAATCAATATTTAAATTTTATAATGTTTATAGTCAGCTAAACATTAATTTACCATTCAAAAGACTCTCTAAATTATTTTAATCACTTTATTTTGTCTCAAATAAATTGTTGCACTTGTGCTTCTAATTTATCTAATGACCTCTTCATTTCTCTTCATTTCTCTTCATTTATTCTCTTTTTTTTCTCCCATTTTTCATTCACTAGTTATCCTTTTTGTGTGCTTTTCTGCTTTCACATCAACCTCTGTTAAACCCTTTTGGAACAATTAAACATTATGGATAAAATTGGTTTCAAGTGTGCAGCTTATTTTCATTATTATTACTTTACCATATAAAAAAAGGGAAACCAAACACAGAGACAAACCAAATGCAGGCGAATGACAAAAAAAGAGAAAGACTTTAAAATGGACAAAACGATATAAAATTAACTCACTAAATCAAGTTTGTTAATAATTTAATCAATTAACTTGACACCAGACAAATAGAGAAAGTTCACTCTCTGCTGTTTGTTTTGTATCATTCAACTTAATGGGTTAAAACAATATCAAAGGCAAAGTAATCCAGGAATACACGAACATACGGATGGATCTGCATTTTGTTGAATCTAGTATTTCCAATCAATGAAACAGTTTTTAAATTAATTGATTGGCTGATCATTGTAACAAACCTGATTGTAAACTTGTTGATTGCAATTGAACACACGCACAGTCAAGACACATGTTGCCATTTGTTGATTTATCAACCAGCAACATGCCTTCACTGGTTCCAAAGCTTAAAGTTAATCTTTCCAAATCATAATTCATAACAATCATTTCATATTGATTTGATTCTTCAACGATTATCAACAATCAAACCATCAATTAGTCGACAACAAGTGAAGCCAATAATCAAAAATGAAACTTATCACATTCATCAGGAAATAATTGCTTGAATAATCTAGATGTAACTGATGAGAAATGACGATAATAATGAATGATGCAAATTAAATCATGTAAATTGAGTCAAAATTAAGGCTTAAAATTTGCCTAATTTTGATTATAAACCATAACAATCTTACAATGAACAATAAGCAAGCATTGAAACAATACGGACAATCAAGTAAATTGTATATAAATAGAGTTAAATGTAACATGAATGGGCAACTATTTTCATTACCTTGTTATAAAATCTGGTAAAAATGAATGTTTTTGCTTCTCATTTACAATCAATCATTTCAATTGAACAATTGAGATTGGTTTCAACAAAATAAAGGTTTTTAATTTAGTTAAAAACTGACGATTGATTTGTAATGAAGAGTATAATAAACTCCCAGATTAATTGGGAGTTTCATTACAATCCACTTTTCATCCAAGAGTTTCATTCAACACTCAAATGATGAACCTTGTTTACAGGTTATATCAATAAGATGAAGATGATGAAGATGAAGATAGAGAAGATAATAAAGTTAGAATGGTTATAATATAGATTCGTAAGGTTAGAGTTGAATTCAGATCTATATTCAGTTTCAACTCACAATCTGATCATGTTGCTCTCATAATAATATACACTGTTGTATGCTAATTATCATCAACTAGAAACTTGTTTTGTCTCTTTTTTTGTCAACTTGTTTCCAGGTAAAGGATTTGAACCTTTTTTTGGTTTACCTTTTCACTAAACATTTTTGTTGACAAACAAACCAAAACAAGCAAGATTGATCAATGCAACAATTAAGACAAGACTATCAATTATATATTAAATTTTTGGTCATTTTTAAGCATCAAAAATGTTCATTATTTATTCATTGGTTTAAAATGATATTCAAACATTTTCCAGGATTATGAATATCATGTTGATTAATATGGTTAATCAATCTAACATTTGACTTGTCCTTGTCAACATTAAGCTTTAACAAAAAGCTCAATCACTATCAATGTTAGGCTCTTGAATATCTTACCATACATGAGTTGCCTTTAAATAGCATTTTGTCTTGTGTTAATTGTTAATTGTCATCACAATTGTGATTATGATTGAACACCATTTTCTTGTATATTATTATGTTAATCAGTTAATCTGTTGAAAAATGGTTGACATTATAAAGAAACGTTTAATTCACTTGTTGGACGTTACATTACAATTTTTGCTTGTGTTGATATTTTCATGAGTTAATTGTTACCTTATTAATTTAAATTGATGCCTGTGAATACCAATCAATAAAGTTAATTGCTGTGTTAACCCTTGTACCAAACAAGTTTAACTGGTTTCCTAATTAATTGCAACTGAATCAAGTTACATAAAGGTCTAATCAGCTGCACTTTAATTTGATTAACATCAAGATAATCATTTACTGTTCATTTTTAACTGTTATGAATATCTTTAAAAATTACAGTTTTTTGTTTCAATCAATTGTAATTACAATTGTGATTAATGACAATTTTCTCAATTTTCATGAAACGTCTAAATTTTTCTCATTTCATATTTGATTGTTGCCATTGTCATCTTTTTATTGATTGTTGGTTAATTATGAAAATGCTTTCAAGTCTTACTAAATTAATCGTTCAATTTAATATCTTTTTGCTTTCTTCTCAATCTATAGATTTTAATATAGCTTGAAATTGCGGTCCATTTTTTTCCTTGATACAATTCAATTACATTTTCATGCTTTCTATTGTAATTTTAAATTGTTATTGTATTCCTCTTTAAATTGGTTCAACTTTCAAACTTTGTCACTTTGTTGTTGATTTTTTCCTCAATTGAACAACCTTAAGAAAACGGGAAAATTGCTATTTACTAGGCTTTAGGTTGTACTTTACAGTATATCGTTTTAAACCGTGAAACCATCATTGCAACTGTGCTCATACAATCCTTTAAATAATGAACTAAATTGTCCATTCCATTTGTGTTTACGCTTGAATTTGAAAATATTGCTTTTCTTCCAATAAGATTGAGTTCAATCAACGGAGTGATTATTGTTGATCAACATAAACCAATTAACAAATTTGTGTTAACATTGTCTTGATTACAGTCATTAGGTTATGAAATTTCCCTTGACTTTGCTTCACCAATGAAAATTGAAATCTTTGAGTTTCTTTTAATTTTGCCTTTTCTTTTCTTCCATTCCATAGATTCTGATGCAAAATCTGGTAATTTTAGGTTCACTGGAACTCAGGGAGATCTTATGGCGTATGCAGCCGAGTACAGAGACTATCTTAAACGTGTTCTTGACCTGAAGCTAGCTCATCCTGAAAGAAAAATGGAGAAATTATTAAATTCAATTCTCTATTTGTTGCTTCAAAATAATAATTTTGATGACCAAGTATTGAAAATGAAACTTTCAGCAGGTAAGTGAAAATGGATACAGTGATCAACCTATTATCAAGTGACTGCCAGTCTTAACATTTCAGAGCAAAAATGAAATTGATTTCATGATACTTGGGGTTGATTAATTAACTGCAAAATTCTTGATTCGTTTTGTTGTTATTTTGCGTTTCTCCTCTTGTTTGCCAAGTTTCTTAGATTTTCAGATTCTACAGATGTGTCCATATATTTCATTTTATCTTGATAATCATCTTCATCTGTGCAACCTTTCCTGAGCATCCTTCCAATCCATGTCCGGATCTTTTAGATTTACAGACCATATTAATGGCCTTTCCACTGTTTTTCATTCTAATCAGAATGACAAATGCAAATAGTAATGAGTGAAGACACAAAATAAGATTAAATTGTTAGATATGGATAATGAATGTTTCAAGTGAATTTCTTACCTTTTTTTCCTTTTTCTTTTTCTTTTTACCTTTACTTCATTTCATAAATTCTTGCCAAGTTAACCTTTTAAATCATTTTGTTTTACTGTTTCTTTAATGTTACGAATTATTGACTGGCAACTGATGATATTCATGAGGTCATCAACTGTTCATTATTATTCTCAAATATCATCACCAATTATTTAAAAATTAAACTGCAAGAAAAGACACAACAGAAAATTAGCTTTAAAATGAGTAATTTGAAGCGTTTAGCAAAGACATTTGAGCTTACCTTGTTGAAAGGGTTTCTTCATCTGCTGATAACGCAATTAAGGATCATCTTCACCTTGATTACTCAGTATCACAATCGTCAATTTAGTTTCTCGGAACAATCAAGAAATACTGAAAAAAATCGCATCAAGACTAATAATGAAAATTGATTGTCACCCATTCATTTTTGCTCTGTATTTGAAAAATTAGTTGAAAAATTAAATTCTAACTCTTAATTCCTATTCTCTTCCAATCTACAGCTAAAGCAACTATTGAAAATATTAGGAATCGTAATAATTTTGGATTAAATAATTTCCTGGGCGAATCTAATGAAAAGGAATCTTCAAGTTCACCTTTAAATGAGAGATTAAAATTAGACCGACCTAGACATTTATCATCTTCAACAGTCTCATCCTCGACAATACCTTCTCTAAATGCCAGTCCAAACACAGTTATAATACCAACCAATTTACCAACCGGCTTGGGAACTGTGGCAACACGAGTCAGCTCATCTTCCTCTGGTTCCTCCTCTGCTTCAGCTTCCCCATTCTCAGCTTCAACGGTAGCCCCTAATGTCGGATCCACGGTCGCTTGTCAATCTTTACTGTCACTAGCAGGAACCGAATATCCAATTTCACCTGTAACAACACTTCCTCAGCCAACCATATTTTCATCCTCACTTTTTTGTCCCAGTTACTATGGTTCATTGGCAGGTAGTTCACTGTCAGCATATCAAACAACCGTTAGTCGTCCAGGTTTCATTCAAAATTATGAGAAAGAATCTTTTCACCAACATCAACACCAGCATCAGCACCAACACCAGCATCAACACCATCACCTTCATCTTCACAATAACAACAACAACAACAACAACAGTTCAACTAGTGGTAATATGAATAATAGCAATGTTCCAAGTAGTAATAGAAATAGCAGCTTAAACATTCACATAACTGGAACCAGCAACTCTACCAACAATTACCATCTTAATCACCAATATCATCAACATACGACGTCTTTTTATTCCTTCCTCGGATCCAATTCGGGTGCAATTAATCTCAGTAAAAAATGAACAACTTGCTGCTTTATCTGCGTAAATTTTCCTTCTTTTTTGGCTTTTCTCTTTTGCTCTTTTTGATTATCTCCTTTCACCTTTCAAAAAAAGCACCTAGACAAAGTCTTGATCTTCATCATCTTCTTCATCCCAATTCTTTACCATTGCTTTCTCATCTGCTGAAACGGATACGCACGACATCAACAGTGATGAAAATAATAATGATGGTTATAATTCACCAAAAATACTTGGAAAAAATTTGCAAGAAAAAAAGGTTACCTGGATGGAATCTGCAAACAAGTTGAAAGGCAACAAAAAAGTTAATTATTCAATTATATAAATATAAAAAAAAGACCAAGTCAATGACTATAAAAAAACTCTTTTTAAAAAAAAGCAACCTAACGACCTTACCTTTACGAAGCTCACAGTTTCGATCATAATGATTTTGATCTTTGTTCGTTCATTTTATTCAATTAATCATTTTTTCTCCTCTTCTTTTTGTCAACAACAGCAACATTCAACATTTAATAGCATTAAAATGCATCCAAAAAAAAGTTTATCCATTTCAGCGTGGAACAAAAAGCTAAAAATTTTCAAAAAAATGCAAAAAATACAATGGTTAAAACTAATTATTAAGGATAAAAAATTGAGAGAGCTCAGCTCTTAATGTACAAAATTATATGTTTTTGTCTTCATCTCTTTTACCTGAAAATTTATGTCAATTGAACAATTTTTTCCTGTGGAGTATGGTCTTCTTAATCATGGTTCTAAACCAATTTTTATCAATATTATAAGAATGATTCGTATTCCCTCTAAACTACTCTAATCGCCATCTCTTTCATACCTGTCAATTTAAATTGTCCTCCTTTCTTTATTTCCAAAACTCTTCTCCATATCTTCACCAATGTCTTCTTCTTGTCCGTTTTTTGTCAATGTTGACATCCATTTTTAATGTTTAGCAAAAAAAATCTAAATGAAAATGTCTTTAGGGTTTCCCGAAATTTGATGCACATATTATAATAATAACAGAAACAACCAATTCTTGATCCAACCAATCCAATCTGACACAACTGCAATAAACAAAGCAAATTTAAATTAATTGATGTTAACAAAATAATTAATTAATTGAATAACAAAAAAGTGTTTGTAATCTTTCCCTTTTGCTATTAGTGAAATAAAAGGCGAGGCAAAAGATTGCCTCTCAAAACTGAACAAAAATGAGTTAATAAAACAAATTGTACTTAAATTGAAATTATTTTTCTCGTTTTTTCTCAAAAATATTTACCATTTGTGGATTCTTACAGTTGGTTTGACCCAATTTCATCTCCAATGGAACACATTAAACATATCTTTCATACAACCATTTAGCTGAATTACGTTTGTCCGTATTACTCACGACATCACCATGCTTTTTATCCATTGCTTTGTTTTCTTTGTTCTTTCATTAGATGACATTCAAGATATATTTTAGGGCCTCCAAGGTTCGCAATAAATATTGATAAAGTTAAATTAGACAATGTTCATTGAACTACTTACAGAACTAACCAAAAGATGCAGAGACGATCGAGTCCAGGAAAACGTATAAATCTCCATCGGTTCCAGAGCACAAAGTTAAACGGATTTTCTTGTGTAAAAGATGCTTGTATAGTGTAACATCCATGGATTTAAGTCATATTTTCAGCTGGAAAAAATTAAATCAGGGTAAATCAGCTAGCCATCAATAGTAATTTGAGTGATATTCGTAAATTTCATAATTTAGAAAGGTCTTAAATGCTGGATTTCCGCAAGAAAATACACATGTCCGCGTCAATTATTCATTCATCATATGTGTAAAACAAAAATGGTGGAAAAGAAGATTAATCAAGTATTTTAACTGCGATCAGTTGATTTGCGGTAGCAGCGAGGGAAATTCAGAGGCAAGGTTGGAAAATTAAAATGATCATTTTAAATACATCGATAAAAAGTGCTACAAAATGATGAAATATACAAAATTTTAGTTCAAACTTGGCGGCAAATTTGTAACTACACAGTAACCAGCAACTTGTAACTAGGGGGAATTAAAGTCAGCCAAAGAGGAGTCTTTGAAACTGGTTACTAACCAAACAAATTTAGTTTTTTACATTTTATTTACACTTTTGTGTTCATCAATTACAATATTTTGTGAAAATGGAACGGGAAGAAAAGGTTTTAGATATTGTTTTAGAGTCTTTAATTAGTCGGTGTGATGAAATCAAGAAATCGCTGATTTCGTTTTTGTATCGTCTTGAAAATGAACATCAAAAACTAGATTGGCCTGCGTTTTTGGACAATTTTGCCCTCATCTCTGGTCAAATAAACAATTTGTTAAAAATATTGAAAAGTGAAAAAACTCCACCTCTACGTAATCGTATTTTTCTACCACTTTTACTCTCACCTGATCGGGACGAGGATCTGGCGAAATTAACTGAAGGCCGTGTAGTTGCATTCAATCATGAGATGGTTCCTGACTATTTAAGAACCAAATTAGAACCAGAGATAGAGTCAATTGAGGCCAAACAAATAGTCAAAGCTTCTACTATGAATCAAGAAGTTGGTCAAAAACAGATTACAAGTATCAATAAAATCGCAAACACAATAATTGAATTGGTTCGCACTACTAAAGATGAATGGGAAAGTGGGTCTACGCAAAGATCATCTATACCAGTTACATCATCAATTCAGGACACAAATATTATATTGGCAGCAATTTACCTCGGTAAAGGACTTAAGCCTTCAACAATTACTCCCAAAACTGAACCTAGACCTGGATCTATTGGGCCTCAAATTCCTGGTCAATCTGGCCCACGACCTCCCGGTATTAGTAAAGCTCCAAGTGCTATAAAGACAAATATTAAATCTGCATCACAAGTGAATCCATACGGAAGATGAATTTTGATAGCATAACTTTCATGTTATTTAACTAACTGCGGAACGAAATTGCGTTTTTTTTGAATTGTATAATTTCGTGAAAACGCAACTAAGTTTAAAAGCCTAATCATGAAATTGAAAGTGAACTCAACTCAAAATGAAATAAAATTTGACTTTCAATTCAGAGCGATTTGAAAATAAATAAACAAATGCCCTGATCTTAAAGAAAGAACAAATTTTGCTAATATTTTCAACCAACAACATGTCTGCATTCGATTTCATGGTGAAAGTTGTCTGGATTCTTATGGAAAATATTTTACATTTTACATTTGAAAGACAAAATGTATCAAAACAGTGATGTACTCATACTTATGTTGCGCTTAATCCCATCGAACTCTTTTATATTGTAATTAGCATTTCTTTTCAAATAAACTGCAATCAATGCACTTATTTAAAAAAACGGAATCTTATGTGAAATAATTAATCTTGTATATCCCGCTCTTCGAAGTGAATTTCATGTGAATCACTAGATGTCATTGGTAGTGAAGCGGCTTTCTTTCAGAAAGATTTAACCAGTTTTCTTAAAAGTGAATAAACAGGGTTTATTAAATTTACCCGGCAAATTTATTAAATTATCAAAATGGTAAGTTGATCTTTTTTTGTCGTTGAATTATCGAACTGAATAATTAGTTAACTCTCTAATATTTTTCTTCCAGACGATAAGTAAAAATAATAAGATGGTACAATTCATCAACTACCGGATGAGAGTAGTTTTGCATGACTCACGGAATCTAGTTGGTAATTTTAAAGCTTTCGATAAACACATGAATGTTATTCTTGCTGATTGTGAGGAATTTCGAAAAATTCGTGGCAAAGGGAACCGTCCTGATCGAGAGGAAAAACGTGTCCTAGGTTTTATTTTGGTACGAGGAGAAACAATTGTGTCTATGACAGTTGAGGGTCCTCCTCCACCAGAAGAAGGACTTCCTCGTGTTCCAGTTTTAGGTTCCATTCCTGGTCCTGGCTATGGACGAGCTGTTGGCAGAGGTGTACCAGTTCCATCTGTACCTCTTCCTACCGCTGCACCAGGTCTTCAAGGGCCCGTTCGAGGTGTTGGAGGGCCATCAGCTAGTATAATGACACCGCAAGCTCGAGGTGTACCCGTTGCTGCTGCCGCTGCAGCAGTTGGAGCAACAGTTGGAGTGCCAAGACCTCCAGTTCCTATTCCTGGAATGCCATTAGGACCTGTCATACCTCCAGGTATACCAACGCCAGGTGTGCCTGGTGTACCCGGAGTTGCAGGAGTCCCAGTAGTTCCCGGAGTTCCTGGAGTACCTGGAGTTCCCGGGGTTCCAGGAGTTCCAGCTCCCGGTATTGCTCCAGGAATTCCAGCCGCTCAGTTAGCAATGGGTCGTGGTATGCCGCCTACAGCTCCACCTGGTATGAGGCCACCGCCTCCTGGTATGATGCGAGGTCCTCCACCTCCAGGTCCACCACCCGGTAAATTGCCTCCTCGACCTATGTGATTATTTATACAAGCTTTTGTCAATAAAATTTATCATGTTCTGGTACTTGGTTTTGTTTTAACTTAAATCGTTTTACTATCATAGCTCACTAATCAAAATGCTTAATTGACTAGGATGAGCATTCTTCAAGCCAAAGCTAAAATGAAAGATTACTCAAAGAGTTTGCAAATAAACTATGGTTATCGAAATTAGTGACAATTCATTTATCAATTTTTAATCAACTGATCCTTTTTTAAGCAATAAATTTAATGTCTTTTATCAATCTGCCTCTTAATAGACACAATATTACAATAGAAATTTTTACACAATTGGCTTCACGGAAACCAAAAACTTCAAACGCTGTGATGGTGAAAGAAAAATTCAATTAGGTTTGAGGCTGAGATTTCCTCTGGTAATCAGCCATACATTCTTTAAATAAGCTAACTTGATCCTTACAAGCTCTCCAATCTCGTTTTTCATACATGCATTCCTGAAAATAAAAAAAAACTTGATTAGAAGATGTTGAATCTTAATCGAGATGAAAAATATTGGCGAATACTTTTTTCATGCGTTACAAACCTGAACATCAAAATGATACTGTAAACATCCAGTCTTTTTGATCGCCAATGTAACTGGATCATCTTGCTCTTCTTCAGCTTCTTTTCTCTCAATTGCTGGATCCTTATTGAAATGATTTGACATTGTGATTATTAAATTAATAAATAATATGAAATGGAAAGAAACAAAACCGATCAACAATCTAATGAGTAAGGTTTACAGTAACTGTGGAGATGACTTTGTCTAGAAGCAGAGCAGATGAAACCCACGTGAGGTTGTTTCAGTTTACTATCAAAGTGAAAACATTTCATTCTTGTTTTTCGTTCAATTTATAACTATGTCGCCTCCGCCGACTCGAGAGGACAGAGTTAAATGTTATAATGCTCGAGATACTTATTGGAAGTGTCTGGACTCGAATGAACTAATTTCTGATCCTAAAAGTAAAATTGATTGTGAACAATTGAGGAAAACCTTTACCGAGAATTGTCCTCAGGTTTGGGTAAGTAATTGAATCTCGCATTCATGTATTGAAATTATTCATTTCTATTTTCTTATTCTTCTTTTATATTTTATCACAGGTCTTTCACTTTGATAGGAAATATAAATATGAAAAATTTAAAGCCGAACAAGCAAAGGAAAATGCCAAACAAATGGCTTCTTGATTAATCGGACAATGATAAACAAAGCAGATTTAAATCTATTGATTTTCGAAGAAAGTGTAGTGATCTTTCCTTGTTGGTAGTAAATAAATTGAAAAGCAAAAAATTGTCGGTAATATCAAAAAATATGTAAATATTGTCATCTCATCATAATTTTTGCCTACTAATAAATCTATTGTTATCGAATGAGTGTTCTGAATCTCAATTTTTAAGTATAGGTCACCATGATTATATTATACTATTTTCATTTTGGTTTACAATTTAGATTGTCAGAGATATAGTGATACCCGAATCAATATGTTTGTTAAAAGAATCAATCCATAGTTCTTTACGAATTAATCCACACGAGTTAATTCAGCGAAAAAAAGAAGCATTTATTGGGTAATGAACCTTTTTATTATAATCAGACTAAATTTACATCACATTTAGTAACTTGATTCAATCTAAAATCTTTACATAACATTCGTAAAAGATAACAATAATTTAGAAGCTAATTAACAATATTTTTACATGCTGATTCAATATCAGGAAATTTGTAATTAAAACCGTAATCCAAAACTCTTTTTGGTACAACTTTTTGACCTTCAGTCATCATAGACGCTCTTTCCTTACCAAAAGCCAATTCAATGACTTTCTCAGGCAAAGGCATGAAGGAAGGACGAAACATGGCTGATCCTAAAGCTTTTGAGAATTCTTTATTTGTAACGACTTGTGGGGCGACTCCGTTCAAGACTCCAACGACCTTTTCGTTGGATGCAGCAAATAAAAACATATTCACTAAATCATCAATATGAATCCAAGGGAAAAACTGATTTCCACTGCCAATAGGGCCACCAAGACCAAGAAAGAAGGGTATGTAAACACGTTGAATAATTCCTCCTTCGGAACCTAGGACAACACCAGATCTAATTATAACCCTACGAGTTGGTGTTTGATCACTCAAATTTCCTGAGTTTTCCCAATCATGGCATAACTTTGAGAAAAAGTCACTAGCTGCCGGTTTACTTTCCTCATTATACTCAGCAGTTTCGTTAGGTGGATAATAACCAACACCAGACATTGTAATGAAAACTTTAGGTGGCTTTGCAGATTTTTCAATGGCTTCAGCTAGTGTTTTTGTAGTCAAAACTCGACTCGACACAACATTTTGCCTGAAACCAGGTGTCCATCTTCGCATCGGATCCAAAACATTTTGTCCTGCAACATTCACAATGACCTCTGTTTCTTCTGGTAATCCTTTCTGCTGTAAATCGTTCTATAATAAACAAGAGATCGGTTAGAGAAAAATTGAGCTAAAAACGTATGTCACTTGTTTAAATTCTAAGAAAGCTTCTCTTGTCGAATTAAGCGGCACCACCAAACTATTAAATTTAATAGTTTGGTGGTATCAGAACTTGATTAGTATTATTTAAAAGCTAACCCATGAAATTCTGCCAACTCCAGGCATTCTTGATATTACTAAAACTTTGGAGGCAACATTTCGAAAGCCTTCAGCCAAATGCGATCCCACAAATCCTGTACCACCGCCTGTCAAATAAACATAAATGAGTTAATCAATCGATATAAGCTGGCAATCGAGAAAAAAACTTACCAATCAAAACAGTCGAAAATTTCGCCATGGTAAAACAAGAAAAATTTTGTCTTGAACTTAATTTAAACACTGGTCATTGGAAATGTAAAATCTTTTGAGAATTATCATACAAGATTAAGATGAAAATATTCTGGCGACATTTCAGATTTTAAGAGAACAGTTGAACTATCTAACCTCAATCAATAGTTAAGTGCATCAGACTTGTGACAAGAATCACAAAAATCATATGTTTAGTGTAAGAATTGGTAACCGCTGTTTTTAAAATGGCTATTTCTTTTTAAGAGATAACATTTATTTCTAAAGTGAATTAAAGATTTTCAAATTAATTGTTTAATTAAATTACCATCATGCGAATTACTTCGTGGAATATTAATGGAATTAGAAGTTTTAAGACTCCAATCAAGGAAATTTTAAATTCCCTTGATTCTGACGTCCTATGTTTCCAAGAAACCAAAATCTCTAGTAAGTTCACATTCAACAACCATTTTTATTATTCACAATTGACTAATATTTTAGTTATTTTTCTACTGAATCAAATATTCTTTAATTTTTAATTCTTTATGATGTCTCTAAATCGTCTATGATTTTTCATTTGTATTATAGGAAATCAAGTTGATGAATTCACTGCCATTATCCAAGATTATGTTTCATTCTTCTCGTTCCCTAAATATCAATCTGGTTATTCAGGAGTAGCCACTTATTGCAAAAATCGTGTTAAGCCTTATCTTGCTCAAGATTGTTTTCTTGTCAATGGTCGTGATACAATTATTGGTCCATTCCATACAGCTACATTTACACCAGCTGAAGTGAAGGATTTGGATAAAGAAGGTCGTGTTATTGTTACTGGACATCAATGTAGAACAAAAGATGGAAATGAATTGAATCTTTTTATTTTCAATCTTTATTGTCCTCATAATGATCCTGATCGACCAGAAAGGAGTATTTACAAACTATCTTTTCATCGATTATTAGAAGAAGTTGCTCACCATATACTTAAAGCAGATAAATCTAATCATGTTTTGATCATAGGAGATATTAATATCAGTCATCAAAGAATAGATCACTGTGACCCAGCTGATGATTTTGAGGAATCTCCTCATCGTGCTTGGCTAAGTGAATTCTTGTCTCCATCTGAAGAATATTCTTCTGTTCATTTTATTGATATCTTTCGTCAGCGTCATCCCAAAGCAAGAAATGCATTCACATGTTGGAATACTAAAAACTTGGCTCGTAAAACAAACTTTGGAACTAGAATTGATTTTGCATTATGTGATGATAGATTCTATAAATATGTGACAGATTTTGAGATATTAACTCAAGTCGAAGGTTCTGACCACTGCCCTATCCGCGTTACTTTTGGTGATCTCCAACCTTTACCCAGCCAGCAATTGCCTAAAATTTGTACAAAATTTTGGCCTGAGTTGGGACAAGGTAAAAGACAAACTTCTATCAAAGGATTTCTAATGCAAACTAAAGCACCTCAAGATGAAAAGACTATCTGTACTACTGTTTCAAAGACTTTAATCAAGCCTAATATCAAGCCTAATAACAAGCCTAATAAAAAAAACAAACAAGATGGAATTAGAAAATATTTTAAAACTAATGAATATGACCGTTCAGCTCGAGATGATGACGACAGTTATGGAATGATGGAACCAGAAATACCGTCATATGATGACCAAATTGTTTCCTGCAATGACTCAGAACGACTTAATTACGAAAATAGAGACAACAAATGTCTTGATGATAAAGAAAAAAAGGATAATAATGCTGCTAAAATCTGGAAAATGCTTTTACCCGGAACTGTGATTGCCCCTCTTTGCTCAGCTCATAAAGAACCCTGCATTTTATTAACAGTCAACAAACCAGGGCCTAATAAAGGTCGAAAATTTTACGCGTGCTCACGTCCTACTGGATTCAAAAATGATCCTGCTAGCTCGTGTGAATTCTTCAAATGGTACAAAAGTTAACTTTATCTGCTAACTAAATGTCCAAAATGTTATTTTTTAAATTTTTTATTCTCAATTATTTTCTTACCATCACTTCTTGATTCCCGCATTTACATGCAAAACGTGTTCAATTTTTTAAGTGTTTCTACGAAAATTCAAAATCACCCAATAAACTGTATCGCAGACTCTAATATGAAGCTCTACATTTTACCATCATAATCAAAAGAGCTTTTGTTTCATGTCAGCAAAGATCATTAAAATTACATATCGTCGCTCTGCGAATTTCAATTTGCTATTCACTTTTTCGGGTGAAACAATCTTTGTGAGATTTTTCCAGGTTCAGTTTTACTGAGCTTGAGAATCTCACATTTAATCATTGCTTTAAAGAAATTTTTTACACTAAATTACAATAAAACTTACGGGTTTTGACTAAAAAATCTCGATCTATCAAAAATATGTTTATTACATGAGAAACGTTGCCATAGTAACATTTACATCTGTGTATTTGTCTCGAGATGAAAATCATTGAAAATGATTGCTAGTTGAATTTCATGCTCAGTTATTTTTTAATTAGTTCCAATCTTTATCTACTTATTTTGACTGGCTATTTTAGTCACCAATGTCTCATCTAGGTAGTTTAAAAAGCGTCGATGAAGATGATGATGATATACCAATTGTTTCCCTTGGTATGGAGGAAACCTTTTTGGGTAAGAGAAGATTTCTTGTTGGATTGGTATTAGCTGTTTCATCAACACTTTTCATCGGTACAAGTTTTATAATCAAAAAAGTTGGATTAAATCGATTAAGTAGCAAAGGCCAACTACGTGCTGGTGCTGGAGGCTATGGTTACTTAAAAGATTGGGTCTGGTGGGCTGGTTTTCTTTTCAGTAAGTTGTTATTCTATAATAAATTTATCCATTGAATCTTGATTTTAACATTTTCAATCTTTATCAGTGGCTTCTGGTGAACTATTCAATTTTGCAGCTTATGCATTCGCTCCAGCATCCTTGGTCACACCATTAGGAGCTTTATCAAGTAAGAATATTTTGCGAAAAACTTATCATGCATCATTTGAGAATTACCTCTTATAGACTTATTGTTTTGGTATCTGATTTTTTTCTAGTTCTAGTCACAGCTTTAATGGCTACAAAGTTCCTCAAGGAAAAGCTCAATTTGTTAACCATTATCGGTTGCATCAACTGCGTTTTTGGCTCTGCTGTAATCGTTCTTCATGCTCCTAAAGAAGGACAAATAAAGAGTTTGGATCAGTTGAATACCATGCTTGCCGAACCATTATTTATTTGTTATTTGTTATTTGTTCTGATCGCTTCTTCCATTTTGATTGGACTCGTAGCACCTAAAAAGGGCGATAAAAACGTACTCGTCTACATCTCTATTTGCTCACTCATCGGATCTCTTTCTGTAATGTCTTGCAAAGGCCTTGGCTTGGCTCTGACTGAAACCTTTTCCGGAATCAATAATGCATTAACACGAGGACTTTTCTGGTTTCTTCTAATTTCTACTATCATTACCATTGCCACTCAAATGAATTATCTCAACAAATCTCTTGATATTTTTGATGCAACTATTGTTACGCCTGTGTATTATGTTTTCTTCACAACTTGTGTTCTTATTGCTTCCTCTATCCTCTTCCAAGAATGGAGCAATATGAAGGCTGAAGATATTATTGGAACGTTGTCCGGTTTTTTTATTGTTATAGCTGGTGTTTTTATGATCAATATCTACAAAGACACAAATCCCAGTTCATTTCATGTTCATGACTCGGGTCGAAACCTGTATAATCAAAGTTCACCTTTACTTAAATCTTTTGGGCCATCAAATAGTGCCAATGGTGATAGCAACACAATAACGAGAAATAGTTCCAGCTCTAATAAACATTCTTCGAGAAAAAAGAAACGTGGCCAACTACCTAAACCAAGACATGATGTCGAGAAGTTTTCTTCATCTGATGAAATCGAAACAAAAACTAATAATACGTATTATGCATGATGAACTATTTTGAAAATATATTAATTTATTGTTTAATTATTTCCAATTAGTTGAATCGTGAGATTTTTAGACTTATCTATGCATCACCAACAAAACTACTCACTGAACCTCACAAAAATATAACTCACGGAGTATTATATTTTGTATATAAATCACAAACATTGACCGGGTAAATATATTGATTTGGTGCATATCCGAACAGACTTTTGATTGTAATATTCATTTAATTCGATTATAAATTATGTAATTTATGTTATAACAGAAAAATAAATAAACAGATTTTAATTTTCAAGAAATCACTTCTCTTTAAAACTCGTAATATTGATGCTTTTTCGGAGCTACTCTTAATGAAGGGGGCTTGCTACAGACCAATCTGAAAAGCGATGGACGATTTTTCGGATTCTATGATTCTAATATAATATTGAAGATAAGACTATCGTTTTCCAATAAAAATATTCTAAACTTTGAGAAAGAATCGATAATAATCACACAACAGATCAAGCCACAGAAAAAAACCGATGAAATCAATCAGGTACACTGTTAATTGTTAATTGTTAAAAATATTGACGGAAAATGATTATGAAATGTGAAAACACAGGAATCATCAAGATTGATCATGAAGTATTACTTATAGTACTTAAGGTATCAAGTAATACTTAAGGTTTGATCTTGTTTTTTGTTGTAAATGAACGTACAAGTTGTTATTTGTTTGAGGTGGGTGGGTTTTGTGAGCAATAATTAAAGAAAAATAAGTAATTATCAGTAATTGCTGGAATTTCAAGTGATAAAATGTCGGACATCATTAACCAAAGGCCATCATAGAGAGTAAAAATTGACAGAATCAATGAAACTTAAAGATGAAATAACAAAATGTTAGCTCTAATTCAATCATTTTTCTTGAAAAAATACGGATCACAATTGTCATAGTTAGTGAAAGTAGCAAAAGTTAATATAATCATCTGATTTTCACACATTGTCACCTTGATATGAAGGAGATTGGAACTTAGCTGATCTTCTGACGCCCCTTTGATGTGCTAATAAATAAATTGTTCACAAACAATTTTTTAGCACATTCAATCGATTTCAGATTCTTTTTATTAAATAAAAGTAAAAAAGTATTGCAAATTGAATATTGAAGCTCCTTTGCACAACTTTAAACATCAAAAATCAACAATTGATTCCAAGATGAAAATCGATGTCAAATTTTCTTTTTTACTTTGTTTTCTTTACTTAATTGATTTTGTTCATTGTGATGATTTCAAATGCCCTGAAAGGGGTAAAGTTGGTGAATTGAAAGTTCCAAATGTTCTCAGCTTGATCAGGTCTCAATCAGGTTATCAGGCTTCTGTTGAAGTTATTAATCCGACTCGAAACAATTTGGTCCATGATTATTATGATGGGGAAAATAATGTTGGATACATTGACTTGGAAGCAACTATTCAAGATAAAATGAATCGACGATATTATTATCATTCGAAAAAGGAAAAGATTGCTGTTCGAGAAAATATATGTACAAGGTTGGACTTGATACAAAATGAGAAGATCGAATCCATCAAAGATTGGTTCGAACCAAGTGATATTGTCGCCAATTCAGAGATGTTTAAAGATTTCGTTCATTTGGGACCAACAGGATTGATGATTTATGCCCATAGTATAAGTGATAAAGCTTCATTCATAGGATCTGAACTGATTGAAGGTCGTACTGTTAATCACTGGTTTTATTGCACCAATCCTAATGGACCTTACATTGACTTTTACTTCGATGTTAAGACTTCGTTGCCTCATCGGTTCTCGTTGTATTATCCTGAATGGATCGAAACTCAGGAAGTCATAAAAGTAAATGAAACTCGAACAGTTAAAAAGCAAGTTGATTCCGAGTCAAAATATGTTTACAATTATTACATGTTCAAACCGTTGTTCATAACATCAGACGACGCCCTTCCATATCCATTGGGTTATGGATGTGCGCGTAAAGGTACTAGTCCATCTACTCCATTACCAGATTTTAGTCAATATGGAGCTAAAGAGTTTAATATGGACATGGAAGCTATCATTACTTATTCTGGCCGTGATCCAATAAAAACAACTGCTCGAGTAATGAAACGAGGCGATGTTATTTCATACGAAATCCAAGAAGGAACCGATTTCGTTCGTTCCATTGAAATTCCTCCTCCTTTGGGACGATTTGAAGTGGATGAACACTCTGGTCGATGCAATTATTATACATCAAATTATTCACCTGATGATACTTTAATCACTCGTTGGCCTTTCCATCAAGATCGTGGCTTCAATCTATTGTATTATTTGGTAATGAAGCCAATTCGAGAGCTTACACCAACTTTCATTGGTTCGATATTTTTAGGGTCATTGCGAGTGGAGGAATACAGAGCTATTAGATTCTTCTCGGATAGAGTGGATGCTATTGTCGACTATTATTATATACATAACGACAGTAATATTGTTCCAAGTAAAGTCATATTCACTCCAGATCGCAGGGATTCTTATTATGGTTCCGTTGGTGCCCCAACTCAAGTTGAAGTAACCATAATTCATGCCGAACATGGTGCAATAAATATTGATTATAAAGATCGATTCGATATTTCTGGTTGTTATCAAGAACCTGGAAGTTATACTTGGTTTCAACTTCTCTTTTCTAATCATTGGCTGTCATCCAATATGCAAATGGTTAAGGAATCCACAGAAGAATATTTGACTTCATTCATTCCGATAACTCGCATTGGTTCAATTCATGCACAACAAGTTGATTCTAATGTATATGTTACTGTTAAGCTTTATGATCGTGTACGTTTCATTGAGGCTTATAGTCGTTCGGATAGCGAAACAGTTATAAACCCTTCATATATTTTGCAAAGATCTAAAGTCGAGGACTGTGAACAACTGTGCAATACGCATCCCGACTGCAATGATTTTAGTTATTGTGACGATTACACTTGTACGATTCACACAGATCATTATAGGTGGCCACAAACACAATATGAACAAGGATGCACAAACTATCTTAGATGGGTAAAGGATGCCACTCCATTGGTCAATAAAAATTATTTGTCGACAATGGAACATGTGTTGCAACAGATAAGGAATAAAGTCTCAGCAGGCGAATTTCTTTTAGAAAATATTGGTCTATCAGCTGAAGATTTGTTCATTGTGAATGGACCTGAAGAGATCGGAGATATTTCCCAGCAACTACATTTAGGTGTTTCTAGACCATTGAGAGCTGATGATTTTCCGATGATCAAAACTGATCGTCATTTCGATGAAGCACTATTCAAGATCGAGAAAAGTACTCTTCAAGAGTGTTTCATGGCTTGTGTTAACGACGATGATTGTAATACACTTTCATATTGTGTTAACCAGAATAAGGAATGTGTTCTGAGTGGAGAAACATCGAGTTCATTGAAAGATTCACTTGAAGACAAAACAAGTCATGCAGATGGATGCAACATCTATCAAAGTAAATATACTGTCACATTCATTCGTGTTTCTTGAACTAATTTCATTCCTTGATTTCAATCCAGAATCATTTATGAATCTATTCGATGAGTATCCTGGCAAAATTTTAGTTCTTGATGCCGTCTCAACCATAACAAATGTACCAATTGGTGATTGTGCTAAAAGATGTGATCAATCAAATGATTTCAGTTGTGAATCGTTCGATTATTGCAATATTAATAATAATCAACGGTAAGTCGAGACTTCAATTGAGGACAACCTAAACCTTATTGAGGAAACCTCTTGTATAATAAGAGGTTTTATTTCAAAAAACAAACAATTTTCTAAATTTTATTGCACTGATTTTCAGCTTGTATTAATAAAAGTTGGTTTAAAATACATAGCGTACAATATGAATGATGATGATACTTTGAAGTCGTTGTGATATTAGTGTACCTCATCTATGGGCAAGTTTAATGAATTTTCATTTTATTTTTTATGAACATTCCTTCCAGAAATGAATCTGTTTGCTTCTTACATGTTAACCACATTGAGATTGATAAAGTTCATCAAATAAATGCGACAAACTGGAAGTTGGCTGAAGCTGGATGTTCCCATTATTCAAGTAAAAACTTTTACTTTAACCTAACATTCATTTTAAATTTGGTAAATATTCACTAATTATTCAACATTTTCACTTTTACAGAAAAATCTGAACTCGATTATGAACATAAAGTTGGACTTGCATTGAAAGATGATACGAAGGAATCAATTGTTGCAACCTTTGACCATTTATCATTAGAACACTGTGCTTCCAGATGCAATTCAGATCCTAATTGTTTTACTCTCGAGTTCTGTGAATCGATTGATTATAAACAAGTTTCCGATAGCAGTGTTTCATTGACGAGTTGTGTATTGACCAACTTGAAACCAAGTAATGCTAATCAAACTGGACTATTTGAAGGATCAAAAAGCACCAAAAAAATTTGCTCAATTTACATAAATCACAACAAGATCACAGGAAAAATTAAAACTGACGCATATCCACCTGAATCCACCTTACCATCTGAATCACCAACTAAATCAGGCAACTTGAAGATAGCATTTGGATTGGCGTTTGCTGGTGGATTCACTGGATTTAAATTTGCTGCTAAAAAAGGAATCATTCCATAGACTAACTCATTGACAACCAAAAATCAACATCATTAAAGGAAGACTGAAGATGGATGTTTAAGAATCATTCATTCGCGATCAACATGGGACATTTATTCAACATATTTATGTATGGACCATTGTCAAATAATGGTTTAATTTTTAAAGAGAAATTTTTAATTAAAAGAATCAAACTAACGTCTTCGATTTAGTATATTCGGGATAATTATTGAATTGAGTCCTATTGAGTTTATCATAAGTTTCTCTTGAAAAATTTATTAATGAATTGAATTGAGTCTATTCATTTCAACAAAAATTAACACTTTCCCGTGCACTCTCATAGCCCAGAACGCAGTTTACTTAAAGGCTTATTTTTGGTGAGATGACTCGTCACCGTTTAAACGCCAATTCCTTAGCGACCTGAATTCTGATTGAGCTCTGACTATTTCGGACATGCAGTTTAATCGTCGCTTTCAGGCTATGTAAAAAATTTCCCTTAGAACCTGTTTGGCTTAACAGACTTGGTAAATGCGATACTCAGGGCACCCACTTTTCACCGCCATGTTTCAATAACTCATCACACAAATTCACCATATTCACATAATTGTTCACCTTTTTCGGAACATACTCTTAATATTAAATAATAAATAGAATCTCATGTTGAAAAGAATATCGTTTTTCACTGAAATGTCCTCAACTTTGAGAAAGAATTAACTGATGAATAATAAATCAGATCATCCATGAAAACCATGAAATCAGAGAAGCTAAAAACTTATTGTTTGTTTGGATCAGATACACTGGCGCTTATCAACAGTTGTTAATAATTTTCATGGAAAATGGTTATGAAATGTGAAAACACAGGAATCATGAAGATCGATCATAAAGTATTACTCATAGTACTTAAGGAATCCAATAATACTTTAGGTTTGATCTTGTTTTTTGTTGTAAATGAACTTACAAGTTGTTATTTGTTAAAGGTGGGTGGGTTTTGTGAGCAATAATTAATAAAAATAAGTAATTATCAATAATTGATGGAATTTCAACTGATAAAATGTCGGACATCATTAACCAAAGGCCATCATAGAGAGTAAAAATTGACAGAATCAATGAAACTTAAAGATGCAATAACAAAATGTTAGCTCTAATTCAATCATTTTTCTTGAAAAAATACGGATCACAATCGTCATAGTTAGTGAAAGTAGAAAAAGTTAATATAATCATCTGATTTTCACATATTGTCACTTTGATATGAAGGAGATTGGAACTTAGCTGATCTTCTGACGCCCCTTTTAGATGCTAATAAACAAATTGTTCACAAAGAATTTTTTAGCACAATTAATCGATTTCAGATTCTTTTTATTAAATAAAAGTAAAAAAGTATTGCAAATTGAATATTGAAGCTCATTTGAACAACTTTAAACATCAAAAATCAACAATTGATTCCAAGATGAAAATCGATGTCAAATTTTCTTTTTTACTTTGTTTTCTTTACTTAATTGATTCTGTTCATTGTGATGATTTCAAATGCCCTGAAAGGGGTAAAGTTGGTGAATTGAAAGTTCCAAATGTTCTCAGCTTGATCAGGTCTCAAACAGGTTATCAAACTTCTGTTGAAGTTAATAGCCCAACTCGAAGCAATTTTGTCGATGATTATTTTGATGGGAAAAATAATGTTGGATATTTTGACATGGAAGTTACTGTTCAAGATGCAGCGAATCGACTTTATTATTATCATTCCACAGAGGAAAAGATTACTGTTCGTGAAAATACGTGTACAAGGTTCGACTTAACTCAGAATGAGAAGTTCGAATCGATCAAAGATTGGTTTGAACCAAAAGATATTGTCGCTAGTTCAGAAATCTTCAAAGATTTGGTTCATTTGGGACCAACAGTGTTGATGATTTATGGCTACAATATTAGTGATAAAGCTTCCTTCATAGGATCCGAACTAATTGAAGGTCGTACTGTTAATCACTGGTTTTACTGTACCAATCCTAATGGACCTTACATTGACTTTTACTTTGATGTTAAGACCTCATTGCCTCATCGGTTCTCGTTGTATTATCCAGAATGGATTGAGACACAGGAAGTCGTTTCAGTAAATGAAACTCGAACAGTTAAAAAGCAAGTTGATTCCGATTCAAAATATGTTTATAACTTTTACATGTTCAAACCGTTGGTCGCTTCAAGAAGAGATCAAATTCCATATCCATTGAGCTATGGGTGTGCGCGTAAAGGTACTCATCCATCTACTCCATTACCAGATTTTAGTCAATATAAAGAGTTTAATATGGACATGGAAGCTATCATTACTTATTCTGGCCGTGATCCAATAAAAACAACTGCTCGTGTAATGAAAAGAGGCGATGTTATTTCTTATGAAATCCAAGAAGGAACCGATTTCGTTCGTTCCATTGAAATGCCTCCTCCTTTAGGACGATTCCAAGTGGATGAACACTCTGGTCGATGCAATTATTTAACATCAGATTATTCGTCTGATGTTACACTAATCACTCGTTGGCCTTTCCATCAAGATCGTGGCTTTAATCTATTGTATTATCTGGTAATGAAGCCACCTCGAGAACATGCACCAACTTTCATTGGTGAGATACCTTTAGGACCATTGCGAGTTGAGGAATACAGAGCTACTAACTTCTTCGCGAATGAAGTTGATGCTATTGTTGACTATTATTATACAAGAAATACTAGTAATTCTGTTCCAAGTAAAGTCATATTCAACGCAGATCGAAACGATAAAGATAATTATTATGGTTACGCTGATATTCCAACACAAGTTGAAGTAACCATAGTTCATGCCGAAGATGGTGCAATGCATATTGATTTTGAAGATCGATTCGATGTATCTGGTTGTTATGAAGAACCTGGAAGTTATACTTGGTTTCAACTTCTCTTTTCTAATCCTTGGCTGCATGAATCAGATATGCAAATGGTTAAGGAATCCACAGAAGAATACTTGGCTTCATTCATTCCGATAACTCGATTTGGTTTAATCTATCCACAACAAGTTGATTCTAATGTATATGTTACTGTTAAGCTTTATGATCGTGTACATTTCATTGAGGCTTATCGTCGTTTTAATAGCCAAACAATTATAAATCCTTCAAATATTTTGCAAAGTCCTAAAGTCGAGGACTGTGAACAACTATGCAGTGCGAATCCTGACTGTAATGAATTTAGTTATTGCGACGATTATACTTGTTCGATTCTTACAGATCGTTATAGCTGGTCACAAAAACAATATAAACAAGGATGCACATACTATGCAAGATGGGTAACGGAGGTCACTCCATTCGTTGATGAAAATTATTTGTCGACAATGGAACATGTGTTGCAACAGATAAGGAATAAAGTCTCAGCAGGCGAAGTTTTTCTAAGAAGCGTTGCTCTATCAGCTGAAGATTTGTTCATTGTGAGTGGACCTGAAGAGATCGGTGATATATCCCAGGAACTACATTCGAACGGTTCCAGACCTTTAAGAGCTGAAGATTTTCCGATGTTAAGCACTAATCGTCATTTCGATGAAGCACAATTCAAGATCGAGAAAAGTACTCTTCAAGATTGTTTCATGGCTTGTGTCAATGATGATGATTGTAACACACTTTCATATTGCATTAACCAGAATAAAGAATGTATTCTGAGTGGAGAAACATCGAGTTCATTGAAAGACTCACTTGAAGACAAAACAAGTCATGCAGATGGATGCAACATCTATCAAAGTAAATATACTGTCACATTGATTTGTATTTCTTGAACTATTAGGTAACCAAAAACGTTTTGATACGCTTAGAGTGTACATATTTCAAACAATTAATTGATTTGGTTAAATTGATTCAATCGTTTGGAGTTTAGGAAGATATTGATTCAATATTTCCTCTTTGATTCGCACCTAATTTCATGACTAAAAGCGTTGATTAACATACTAATAATTTTTGTTTCTCGATCTCAATCTAGAGTCCTTTATGAATCTATTCCATGAGTATCCTGGCAAGAGTCTAGTTCTGGATGCCATCTCAACCATATCTAATGTACCAATTGGGGATTGTGCTGAAAGATGTGCTCAATCAAATGATATCAGTTGTGAATCATTTGATTATTGCCAAGAAAGTTATCAACGGTAAGTCGAAACTATAACAGAATATTGGATGGTGAAAGAAATAGTAGAAAAAGCTCTTGTATCTACACATCTACACACACAATATATAAAGTCAATGTACCAAATTTTTGTGTCAAGATTTTTGCCAAACTGAGCGGGTTCTAAGAAAATAATTGCAGAGCATGAAAACCCGAATTCAACTACATCCACGAAAAATAGGAAACCTCACCTCAGAATTCAGATCTCTAAGAAATTCATGAAAATAGAGGTTGGGGGAAAAAATGTAGAATCCGTATTCGATAACATTGAAAAAGGGGGAAAAACTTTTTTGTTTTTCAAGTTGATAATTCATTGTTGGACCAGGATTTATTTAAAAATTTGTCATTTGAGTGAAGAGTTAAGAGAGGCTTTTTTCACCATATTGTCTAACACTCAATTCAACACATCCACCAAATCAACCAAAACATCACTTTTTTAAAAGACTTTTCTTAACAAAATTGTCCACCACCATCTTGACCATTTTTACACCATCTAGCATGTCCGCTATTAATCGCATCATATCTCAAAAAGTGGTCAAAAATTTGGGGGATAATCTTATAAGAAAAAGTGTTTGAAAATGAAAATGTGGTGGAATAAAGCCACTCTAAAGTTGTTAATGAAAGTGGTGGACAAAAAGTGATGTTTGATTTAGCTGATTTGGCGGATGTGTTAGATTGGGTGGTGGACATTACCGTGAGCATGGGTGGTTGTAAGAAAATTGCGATCAGCCATGGTCGCATTAGTTTCTTGTTAATAGTAAATATTAGTAAACCAAACAATTTTCTAAATTTTATTGCTTTTCTTGCTAACTTGTAATCATAACTGGTTTAAAATGCTATAATAATAAGCGTATAATATTAATGATAATGGGTCTTGTAAAGTCGTTTTAATATAAGTGTGTGCTCATCTAGGATTAAATTTAATGAATTTTAATCCCTATTCCTTTCAGAAATGAATCTGTTTGCTTCTTACATGTTAACCAGCTTGAGATCGATAAAGTTCATCAAATAAATGCGACAAACTGGAAGTTGGCTGAAGCTGGATGTTCCCATTATTCAAGTAAAAACCTTTACTTTAACCTAACAAACCTCAAATGTGGTTGAAATTTACTAATTATTCAATCTTTTTGCTTCAACAGAAAAATCTGAACTTGATTATGAACATAAAGTTGGACTTGCATTGAAAGATAATACGAAAGAATCAATTGTTGGAACCTTTGACCATTTATCATTAGAACACTGTGCTTCCAGATGCAATTCAGATCCTAATTGTTTTACTCTCGAGTTTTGTGAATCAGTTGACTATGATCGAGTTTCCGATAGTAGTGTTTCATTGACGAGCTGTTCATTGACCAACTTGAAACCAAGTAATGCCAATCAAACTGGACTATTTGAAGAAACGAAAAGCAACAACAAAATTTGCTCAATTTACATAAATCACAAGAAGATCACAGGCAAAAGTAAAACTGATGCATATCCACCTGAATCGACCTTACCATCTGAATTACCAACTAAATCAGGCAACTTGAAGATAGCATTTGGATTGGGGACAATGGTATTTATATTAGCGTTTGCTGGTGGATTCATAGGATTCAAATTTGCTGCTAAAAAAGGAATCATTCCATAGACTAATTTATTGGCAACCAAAACTCAACATTAGAAACCATTCATTCTTGATCAACCTGGTACATTTATTCAACATATTAATTCATAAGTGTATAGGGTGTATGTATAAGGACCTTTGGCAAATAGTTCTTTGACTTTAGAGTTAAGAGTAGAGAATTTTGAGGGTTTTAGTGTCACAAAAAGAAGTCGATTAAATTTTTTTTTAAATTAATTATAAATTAAATTTAATGTTTTTAAAAAATTGAGATCAAAACTTCGATCACCTTTTATATAAGTTTGCGACCGATTTTTTCATCGAAATCATTTCCTATTGAACTTCTGATGACAAATAAAAAAATGCACCTTTGGGGAAAAGTTTGGGTAAAATGGGTTTGATGAAAAAATCTGGTTCCATAATGAAACAAAAGGCAATCGAAGTTTCAAATTTAATCTCGATTTTCTCAAAAACTGTCGATCAGACTTTTTAAATGGCATTAATGGATTCAGTTAAATGCCCCTACAAACGTACAAAGTTCTAACTCTTAACTCGAGTGTCGTGTATTGTAAATACTTATTCAATAAATTTTTAACCAACTTAATTGAAGCAAGTTGTTTCTCAGTTTACCGAAGCTGCCACCAATCACAAGCCGAAACATATGCAGTGGCTAAGTTCAGCTTAAACGGATGTTTTTACAGCCTTATTGACAAGCTATAAACTCGTTTATTCATAACAGTTGAAGATCCAGGTTTCAAGAAGAACAGTCTATCGTCCAAAAAGTTTATCAACTACTCGAAAAAGTTCAACAATAAACTTAAATGCATCAGAGTTTCGGTAACCTATTACAACTGAATATGAAATTTACTTATCTGATTGTGATGGTAATGACGATGAATAAAGGGTGTTACAAGTTATAGCTTCTAAATGGTACAAGAAACTTTAACTTACCGTTATCTTAAATGGGGTAAATATATCTTTGGGTTTGAATTTGTTTTTCGTTGTGAATAAACTTGCAAGTTGTTATTTGTTTAAAGTGGGTGGATTTGGTGTAAAATAAAAAATAAACAATAAGTAATAGTTATCACATGTTGACTATTTTTTAGATGAATAATTGATGAAATTTCATCTATAAATGTTGGACACCATTAATTACAGGTCATTAATGACTAAATTCAGAATTAATGAAGCTTTAAGATAAATCAATTAAATAATCTATTTAAATCATACTTCTCGTACAAAAACATCAGTTAATGAAAGTAGCAATATTTGATATAATCATTTGATTTTCACACCTTATAATATGAATAAGATTAAAACTTGAATGAGCTTCTGACACCCATTTTTGTGCTAATAATTTTTGAGATAAAATTTTATTTCCCATGCAATCAATTTAAGATACTTTTTATACAAATAAAAGCAAAAAAGTGTTTCGATTAGTTCATTTCATTAACAATTGAATATTGAAATCACTTGTAACAACGTAAACATCAAGCATCAACAATTGATTACAAGATGAAAATGGATCTCAACTTTTCTTTTTTACTTTGTTTTCTTTACTTAATTGATTTTGTTCATTGTGATGATTTCAGCTGTCCTGAAAGAGGTAAAGTCGGTGATTTGAAAGTACCAAATGTTCGCAGTTTGATTGATAAACAAACCGGTTATCGTTCGTCTGTTGAAATTACTAATTGGAAGCATTATTACACCTTGGTTCATGATTATTTTGATGGGAAAAATAATGTTGGATATATTGACTTGGAAGGAAATTTTAAAGATACAAGCTATTATTATCATTCAACAGAGGAAAAGATTAAGGTTTGGAGAAATATTTGCAAAAGATTGGACTTAACCCAAAATGAAAAAATTACATCGATCAAGGATTGGTTTGAACCAAAAGATATTGTCGCAAGTTCAGAGATTTTAAAGATTTCGTTCATTTGGGACCAACAGGATTGATGATTTATGCCAACAGTATAAGTGATAAAGCTTCGTTCATAGGATCCGAACTGATTGAAGGTCGTAATGTTAATCACTGGTTTTATTGTACCAATCCTAATGGACCTTACATTGACTTTTACTTTGATGTTAAGACCTCATTTCCTCATCGGTTCTCGTTGTATTATCCTGAATGGATCGAGATTCAGGAATTCATTTCAGTGAATGAAACTCAAACAGTTAAAAAGCAAGTTGATTCCGAGTCAAAATACGTTTACAACTTTTACATGTTCAAACCGTTGGTCATAACATCAGATGACGCCATTCAATATCCATTGGGTTATGGATGTGCACGGGAAGGTACTGGTGCATCTACTCCTTTACCAGATTTTAGTAAAGTTGAAGAGTTTACTATGGATATGGAATCAGTACTAACATATTCTGATAGTGATCCTATAAAATCAACTGCTCGAGTAATGAAACGAGGCGATGTTATTTCATACGAAATTCAAGAAGGAGCCGATTTCGTTCGTTCCATTGAAATTCCTCCTCCTTTAGGACGATTCCAAGTGGATGAACACTCTGGTCGATGCAATTATTATACATCAGATTATTCGTCTGATGTTACACTAATCACTCGCTAGCCTTTCCATCAAGATCGTGGCTTCAATCTATTGTATTATCTGGTAATGAAGCCACCCCGAGAACACGCACCAACTTTCATTGGGGAAATACCTTTAGGACCATTGCGAGTTGAGGAATACAGAGCTGCGAACTTCTTCTCGAATAAAGTGGATGCTATTGTCGATTATTATTATACACAGAACACCAGTGATTCTGTTCCAAGTAAAGTCATATTTACCAAAGATCGAAGTAATTTTTTTTATGATTTCGTTCATGCTCCAACTCAAGTTGAAGTAACCATAATTAATTATGAAGACGGTTACATTGATTATGAAGATCGATTCTATGTTTCTGGTTGTTCCCCTATTATTATCCAGGTAATAATTGGTATAACCATTCCAGTATTATACCAATTAGTTGAAACCAACTGTACTTGGTTTCAACTTTTCATTTCAAATCCTTGGACGAGTGAATACAATCTTGAACAAATCAAAGAAACAACAGAAACATACTTGACTTCATTCATTCCAATAACTCGCATTGGTGAAATTCATACAAAACAAGTTGATTCTAATGTTTATATTACTGTTAAGCTCTATGGTCGTGTACATTTCATTGAGGCTTATCGTTATACGTTCGAATCAATATACTGTTATGAATCCTTCAAATATTGTGCAAAGAGTCAAAGTCGAGGACTGTGAACAACTTTGCAGTGCAAATCCCAGCTGCAATGATTTCAGTTATTGTGATGATTACGATTGTTCAATTCTTACAGAACATTATAGCTGGTCACAAAAACAATATACACAAGGATGCACATAATATTCTAGATGGGTAACGGAGGTCACTTCATTCGTTGATAAAAACTTTTTTCGACAATGGAACATGTGTTGCAACAGATAAGGAATAAAGTCTCAGCAGGAGAGCTAGTTCTAGACATATCTGGACTATCAATTGAAGATTTGTTCATCGTGAATAGACCTGAAGAGATCAGCGATATTTCCCAGGAACTACATTCGAACGGTTCCAGACCTTTAAGAGCTGATGATTTTCCGATGATAAACACTAATCGTCATTTCAATGAAGTACAATTGAAGATCGAGAAAAGTACTCTTCAAGATTGTTTCATGGCTTGTGTCAATGATGATGATTGTAATACACTTTCATATTGTATTGACCAGAATAAGGAATGTATTCTGAGTGGAGAAACATCGAGTTCATTGAAAGACGCACTCGACGACAAAACAAGCCATTCAGATGGATGTAACATCTATCAAAGTAAATATACTGTCGCATTTATTTGTATCTCTTCAACTAATTTTATTCCTCTATTTCAACTTAGAATCATTTATGAATCTATTCCATGAGTATCCTGGCAAAAGTCTAGTTCTTGATGCCGTCTCAACCATATCTAATGTACCAATTAATGATTGTGCTAAAAGATGTGCTCAATCAAGTGACTTCAGTTGTGAATCATTTGACTATTGCCAAGATAATGATCAACGGTAAGTCGAAACTTATCACTAAATTTTTGACACACTATGTGATACTACAGGCAATTAAATGATCAATGAAGAGGAACAATGCATAAGGATATAGATATGCATATTATTTAATGATTGATATAATCTTATTCTTTATTAATTAAAAGAGATAATAATAGGCTATTATCAATAGCCACATGAAAAGGATTGTAGCTTCCAACTTGACATGGGCATCAACTGTATTCACATAACGTTGTTAGATTCAAATTTGCGATACACAGTGCTGAATACATACGATACACATGTGTTTCTATGGAAATTTCTGTAATCACCTTTAACCTCAAACAACCTCTTTAACGACACTTAAAAGTTATTGCATTTATTAAATATCACAAATATTTCTAATAAATTGTTATTTTATTTTTTATCCTAATTCCTCCCAGAAATGAATCTGTCTGCTTCTTACATGTTAACCACATTGAGATTGATAAAGCTCATCAAATGAATGCAACAAACTGGAAGTTGGCTGAAGCTGGATGTTCCCATTATTCAAGTAAAAACCTTTACTTTAACCTAAAATTGTCTAAAATCTGGTTGCTATTCACTAATTATTCAATCTTTTTGCTTTGACAGAAAAATCTGAACTTGATTATGAACTCAAAGTTGAACTTGCATTGAAAGAAAATACGAAAGAAGCAATTGTTGGAACCTTTGACCATTTATCATTAGAACACTGTGCTTCCAGATGCAATTCAGATCCTAATTGTTTTACTCTCGAGTTTTGTGAATCTATTGACTATGATCGAGTTTCCGATAGTAGTGTTCCATTGACGAGTTGTTCATTGACAAACTTGAAACCAGGTAAACAACCTGGACTATTTGAAGTACCAAAAAGCAACAAAATTTGCTCAATTTATATAAATCACAAAAAGATCACAGACAAAAGTAAAACTGATCCACAACCAATGCCACCTGAAGCACCAACTAAGTCGGGCAATTTGAAGATAGCTATTGGATTGGGGGCAATAGTCTGCTTAATGGCCTTTGCTGGTGGATTCGTTGGATTTAAATTTGCTATCAAAAAAGGAATCATTTCATAGACTAAATTGACAACCAAAAACATCATTATTAGAGGAAAACTGAAGATGAATGTTTATGAATCATTCAATCTTAATCTGATACCTTGATGAAACATGTAATATTTATATAAGGACCATTGGCAAATAACACTTTGACTCTAGAAGTTTTTAGCGCCACAAAAAGGAGTCCATTAACACTATTAAATTTTATAATTTTTCGGGTCGAGTTTTCATGAAAATCGAGGTCAAAGTTGAAACTGTGATAACCTTTTGTATAACTAAGTTGTCTTGAATAACGTTCGTCGTAAGATTTTACTATGGACTAGTGTATAATATTACTAAGCACAAAAGAAACGGTGCTAATTCAGCTAATAAGGAATATCTTTCCAAAACATCATAACATGTGTGTTGATTATCAAGTAGCAGACACCCACCCACTCTTTTGCAAAAGAAGTGCTACTAAATCACACAACAGATCTATCATAAAGTCACAAAAATCATCAAATCAATCAGGAACATTGGCAATTAATTGTCCATAGTTTTGATAATATTGATTTAGAATGATTATAAATGTTAAAACACAGGAATCATGCTTATAAAGTATTTTGGGTTTGCTCTTGTTTTTTGTTGCAAATGAACTTAAAAGTTGCTATTTGTTCAAGTGGGTGGATGTTGTGTAAAATAAGATTGTAATAGACAATAGCTAATTATCATAGCATGCTTAGTAGTTTATTGCATGAATAATTGATAGGATTTCAACTTATTGATTGTTGGACATCATTGCTAACAAGGCATAATTAAATAAATTCATCAATTCAGAATTATTAAAAGTGAAGATGAAATAAATCAAATAAAATTAAATTTAATGATCTATTCAAATCATATTTCTTGTACAAAACGATCAGATTAGTTAATGAAAGTAGCAATATTTAATATAATCATTTGATTTTCACACCTTATAATTTAAGTAAGATTAAAACTTGAATCATCTTCTGACGCCCATTCGAGTGCTAATGTTTTGAGATAAAATGTTCTAGCTCAATTAATCAATTACAGATTCATTTTATTCAAATAAAAGTAAAAAAGTATTTCAATTAGTTTATTTCATTGAAATTGAGGCTTGAAGCAACTCTTCACAAATTAAACATCGGGCATCAACAATTAATTCCAAGATGAAGATTGATCTCAATTTTTCTTTTATTCTCTGTTTTCTTTATTTAATTAATTCCATTATTTGTGATGATTTCAAATGCCCTGAGAGGGGTAAAGTCGGTGAATTGAAAGTACCGAATGTTCTCAGTTTGATTGATAAACAAACAGGTTATCGTTATCAAAACTGAAGATGAATGTTTAGGAATCATTCAAGCTTGATCAACTTTGTACATTTATTCAACAATATTTATTCAAGGACTATTGCCAGATACAAATACAATGTAATTCTGCAATTTTTTTGAAACGAAGTTTTTTAATTAAAAGAATCAAACTTTGGTCTCTTTTTGTACAATTGCGGCGACATATTTGTATAATAAACTAACTGCTGTTCACTCGATTTTTGCATATTACATATTCCTAATCCAACAATAAACCATCAAACAATAATTCTGGAACCAAAATGCTGAAAATAAGGATTCTGCAGCTTCCCACACGCTGTTTAAACGCGAATTCCTCAGCGACCTTAATTCTGATTAGGCTCTGACTATTTCGGACATGCCGTTTAACCGTAGTTTTCACGCTATGTAAAAAATTCCCTTAGAATCCTATCTATTTCCTCACAATTTTCTCACAAAAATTTGATATTTTCCCTTTAAGTATTGTATGAGTGTATGGATTAATTAATTATGTAATTTAAGTTACTACAAAAAAATGAAAAAACTGATTCTCATTTGCAAGCAGAACTTGTCATTTCGCTTTAAAACTGTCAATATTTATGCCGAAAAGCAAATCGATGTTTTAATAAAAAATTTTATTTTAAATTTTTCTGTATCTGCAGACGATTTCTGCGTTTTTCGCATGTATGCTACAAAAAATCAACTAATGTCTGTTTGGCTTAACAGACTTTGTAAATGCGATACTCAGGGCACCGAATTTTTGCGACCATATTTAAATCACTTTTTTCATCACACAAATGCACCATATTCACATAATTGTTCACTTTTTTCGGAACTAACTCTTAATAGTGAACTGAAATCAGAGAAGCCTAAAAATGCATTGTTTATTTGGATCAGGTACACTGTCACTCATCAATAGTTTCTAATAATTTTGGTGGACAATTATTATGAATAGTGATAGCAACACAATAACGAGAAATAGTTCCAGTTCTAATAAACATTCTTCAACGAGAAAAAAGAAACGTGGCCAATTACCTAAGCCAAGACATGATGTCGAGAAGTTTTCTTCATCTGATGAATCGGATTCTTTGATTCTATTATGATAATTATAATAGGACTGTCATTTTTCAATAAAAATATTTTAAACTTTGAGAAAGAATCGCTAATAATCACACAACAGATCAAGCCACAGAAAGGAACCCATGAAATCAATCAGGTACACTGTTACTTGTCAATTGCTAAAAATATTGAGGGAAAATGATTATGAGATGTGAAAACACAGGAATCATAAAGATTGATCATGAAGTATTACTTATAGTACTTAAGGAATCAAATAATACTTTAGGTTTGATCTTATTATTTGTTGTAAATGAACGTACAAGTTGTTATTTGTTTGAGGTGGGTGGGTTTTGTGAGCAATAATTAATAAAAAATGAGTAATAATCAGTAATTGTTGTGATTTGAACTGATAAAATGTTGGACATCATTAGACAAAGGTCTGACAATTGAAGGAGATTGAAACTTAACTGATCTTCTGACGCCCCTTTTAGGTGCTAATAAATAAATTTCAATAAATTACTTGCATTGCAAATTGAATATTGAAGCCGCTTTACACAACTCAAAAATCAACAATTGATTCCAATATGAAGATTGATCTCAAGTTTTCTTTTTTACTTTGTTTTCTTTACTTAATTGATTCTGTTCTTTGTGATGATTTCAAATGCCCTGAAAGGGGTAAAGTTGGTGAATTGAAAGTTCCAAATGTTCTCAGTTTGGTTGATAAGCAAACTGGTTATCATGCTTCTGTTGAAGTTATTAATCCGACTCGAAACAATTTGGTCCATGATTATTATGATCGGAAAAAAAGTGTTGGATACATTGACTTGGAAGCAACCATTCAAGATAAAATGAATCGACGTTATTATTATCATTCAACAGAGGAAAAGATTGCTGTCCGAGAAAATACATGTACAAGGTTGGACTTGACACATAACGAGAAAGTTGAATCGATCAAAGATTGGTTTGAACCAAAAGATATTGTCGCTAGCTCAGAGATGTTTAAAGATTTCGTTCATTTGGGACCAACAGGATTGATGATCTATGGCTACAATATTAGTGATAAAGCTTCCTTCATTGGATCCGAACTGATTGAAGGTCGTGCTGTTAATCACTGGTTTTATTGTACCAATCCTAAAGGACCTTACATTGACTTTTATTTTGATGTTAAGACCTCTTTGCCTTATCGGTTCTCGTTGTATTATCCTGAATGGATTGAGACTCAGGAAGTAATCTCAACAAATAAAGTCCAAACAGTTAAAAAGCAAGTTGATTCCGATTCAAAATATGTTTATAACTTTTACACGTTCAAACCGTTGGTGATTTCAAGAGAAGATCAAATTCCATATCCATTGGGCTATGGATGTGCGCGTAAAGGTACTCTTCCATCTACTCCATTACCAGATTTTGGTAAAGTTAAAGAGTTTACTATGGACATGGAAGCTATCATTACTTATTCTGACCGTGAGCTGATCAAATCAACTGCTCGAGTAATGAAAAGAGGCGATGTTATTTCTTATGAACTTCAAGAAGGAACCGATTTCGTTCGTACCATTGAAATGCCTCCTCCTTTAGGGCGATTCCAAGTAGATGAACGCAATGGTCGATGCAAATATATTACATATGATTATAAGCCTGATGTTACTTTAATCACTCGTTGGCCTTTTCATGAAGATCGTGGCTTTAATCTCTTTTTTTATTTGGTTATGAAGCCGATTCGAGAGCTTACACCAACTTTCATTGGTGAAATACCTTTAGGACCATTACGAGTGGAAGAATACAGAGCTAGAAGATTCTTCTTCGATAGAATGACGGCAGTTGTTGACTATTATTATACACAGAACAACAGTGATTCTGTTCCAAGTAAAGTCATATTTACCAAAGATCGAAGTGAGCATATTTATTATTCCTTTGATCCTCCAACTCAAGCTGAAGTGACCATTATTAACTACGAAGACACTAACATTGATTATAAAGATCGATTCGATGTTTCTGGTTGTCATGAAGAACCTGGAAGTTATACTTGGTTTCAACTTCTCTTTTCTAATCCTTGGCTGCATGAATTTAACATGCAAATGGTTAAGGAATCCACAGAAGAATACTTGATTTCATTCATTCCGATAACTCGCATTGGTGAAATTCATGCACAACAAGTTGATTCTAATGTATATGTTACTGTTAAGCTTTATGATCGTGTGCGTTTCATTGAGGCTTATAGTCGTTCGAATGACCAAACAATTATAAATCCTTCAAATATTTTGCAAAGATCTAAAGTCGAGGACTGTGAACAACTGTGCAATACGCATCCCGACTGCAATGATTTTAGTTATTGTGACGATTACACTTGTACGATTTACACAGATCGTTATAATTGGCCACAAAAACAATATAAACAAGGATGTACAAACTATGCTAGAAATGTAAAGGATGTCACTTCATTCGTTGATAAAAATTATTTGTCGACAATGGAACATGTATTACAACAGATAAGGAATAAAGTCTCAGCAGGTGAAGTTTTTTTAAGTAGCGTTGGCCTATCAGCTGAAGAATTATTCATTGTGAGTGGACCTGAAGAGATTGGCGATATATCCCAGGAACTACATTTAAGTGGTTCTAGACCATTGAGAGATGAAGATTTCCCGATGATCAAAACTGATCGCCATTTCAATGAAGCACAATTCAAGATCGAGAAAAGTACTCTTCAAGATTGTTTCATGGCTTGTGTCAATGACGATGATTGCAATACACTTTCATATTGTGTTAATCAAAATAAGGAATGTATTCTGAGTGGAGAAACATCGAGTTCATTGGAAGCCGCACTTGAAGACAAAACAAGCCATTCAGATGGATGTAACATCTATCAAAGTAAATATACTGTCGCATTTATTTGTACTTATTCAACTAATTTTATTCCTCTATTTCAACTTAGAATCATTTATGAATCTATTCCATGAGTATCCTGGCAAAAGTCTAGTTCTTGATGCCGTCTCAACCATAACAAATGTACCTATTGGTGATTGTGCTAAAAGTTGTGTTCAGTCAGTTGATTTCAATTGTGAGTCATTCGATTATTGCCGAGATAATGATAAAAGGTAAGTCGAAACTATCGCAGAATATTGAATGGTGAAAGAAACCTCTTTTATTTCAAGAAACAAACAATTTTCTAAATTTTATTGCAATTCTTGCTAACTTGTAATAAAAGCTGGCGAAAAATATATAGTTATATAATATGAATGATAATGACACTTGTGCAGTCGTTGTGATATTACTAGTGTATGCTCATCTATGATTAAGTTTAATGAATTTTATTTTTTATCCCAACTGCTTTATCCCTATCCCAGAAATGAATCTGTCTGCTTCTTGCATGTTAACCACATTGAGATTGATAAAGTTCATAAAATAGATGCGACAAACTGGAAGTTGGCTGAAGCTGGATGTTCCCATTATTCAAGTAAAAACTTAACTTTGACATAACAAACCTCAAATTTGGTTGAAATTTACTAATCAGTCAATTTTATTACTTAAACAGAAAAATCTGAACTCGAATATGAACATAAAGTTGGACTTGCATTGAAAGATAATACGAAAGAATCAATTGTTGGAACCTTTGACCATTTATCACTTGAACACTGTGCTTCCAGATGCAATTCAAATCCTAATTGTTTTACTTTTGCATTCTGTGAATCTATTGATTATAGTCAAGTCTCCGATAGCAGTGTTTCATTGACGAGTTGTTCATTGACCAACTTGAAACCAAGTAATGCTAATCAAACAGGACTATTTGAAGAAACAAAAAGCAACAACAAAATTTGTTCAATTTACATAAATCACAAAAAGATCACAGGAAAAAGTAAAACTGACTCACTTCCATCTGCATTAATAACACCATCTGAATCATCAACTAAATCAAACAATTTAAAGATAGCATTTGGATTGGGGACAATAGTATTTATATTGGCGCTTGTTGGTGGATTCACTGGATTTAAATTTGCTACTAAAAAAGGAATCATTTGATAGACTAATTTATTGGCAACCAAAAATCAACATCTTTAGAGGAAAACTGAAGATGAATGTTTAGGAATCGTTCATTCTTGATCAACATGGTTCATTTATTCAACATATTTATGCAAGGACCATTGGCAAATAATGATTTAATTTTTATTAAAGAGAGATTATTTAATTAAAAGAATCAAACTTTGGTCTCTTTTTGTACAGTTGAGGCGACAGATTTTTATAATAAACTAACTGTTGTTTACTCGGTTTTTACATTGATTTTATATATTCCTAATCCAACAATAAACCATCAAACTATAAACCTGGTACCAAAAGTTTTTCATCAAACACAATGCTAAAAATACGGATTCTGCACTTTCCCACACGCTGTTTAAACGCGAATTCCTTAGCGACCTGAATTCTGATTGAACTCTGACTATTTCGGAAATGCCATTTAATCGTAGCTTTCAGGATATATAGTATTCCCATAGAATCCTATCCGTTTCTTCACAATTTTTACACAAAAATTTGATTTTTCACTTTATTTATTGTACAGGGCATTTCAGCTAATTTTCCCGTTGTAAATTGGCTATATCTTTGCTCCTGAGGGACCTAGAGGAAAGATATTTTGTTACTGGAAATTTGGGCGATACTCAATTGTCATATTTCAAGGTCAAGGTCATTCAAGGTCGTTGCTTTATTTGACCTCTAACTGATATTTGGAGGTCATTTTCTAAGAGTGCAAAAATTTTCAGATCGGTTGATGCTAGTGACATGTTCGTAACTTATTCTGGTCAAAAGATATGAGAGTTTACACATTGTTCTGTTGATCAATTGGTTTTAACAAAAATGCATTTATCTTTCCAACGGTGTGAGATACTAACTCGATGTAAACATCAACCGATCTGAAAATTTTTGCACTCTTAGAAAATGACCTCCAAATATCAGTTAGAGGTCAAATAACGCAATGACCTTGAATGACCTTGCCCTTGAAATATGACAATTGAGTATCGCCTGAATTCCCGTAAACAAAATACGTAACCTCTAGGTCACTCAGGGGCAAAGATATAGCCAATTTACAACGGGAAAATTAGCTGAAATGCCCTGTATGAATTATGTTACAACAAAAAATAAAAAAACAGCAACAAAAACAATTCTCATTTTCATGCAAAACTTGTCATTTCACTTTAAAACTGGTAATATTTATGCTGAAAAGCAAATCGATGTTTAGATAAAAGATTTGGTTTTAAATTTTTCTGTATCGTCAGACGATTTTTACAATTTTCGCATGCATGCTACAAAAATTCAACTAAAGTCTGTGTGGCTTAACAGACTTTGTAAGTGAAATGATCAGGGCAAAGAATTTTTGGCACCTAATTCAATAACTTTTTTTGCATCACAAAAGTCCACCATATTCACATAATTGTTCACTTTTTTCGGAACTAACTCTTAATAGTGAACTGAAATCAGAGAAGCCTAAAAATTGATTGTTTATTTGGATCAGGTACAATGGCACTCATCAATAGTTATTAATAATTTTCATGGAAAATGACTATGAAATGTGAAAACAGAAATAATGATTGGAATTACTTGGAATTCATCTTGATTTTTTGTTGTAAATGAACTTAAAAAGTTGAAGGTTGGTGGGTTTTGTGTGAAATAAGATTGTAACAAACAATGGACAACTATCAATAACTTTTTATTCAAATAAAAGTAAATAAATATTTCAAATAGCGCATTACATTGACAATTAAATATTGAAGCCACTTTACACAACTGTGCCAATGGTGATAGCAACACAATAACGAGAAATAGTTTCACCTCTAATAAAAATTCTTCGAGAAAAAAGAAACGTGGCCCACTACCTAAGCCAAGACATGATGTCGGAAAGTTTTCTTTAATTTATGTTATAACAGAAAAATAAATAAACAGATTTTAATTTTCAAGAAAAACTTATCACTTCTCTTTGAAACTCGTGATAGCGATGCTTTTTCGGAGCAATGAAGGGGAATTGCTACAGACCAATCTGAAAAGCGATGGACGGTTTGTCGGATTCTCTGATTTTATTATATTAATAATAAGACTATCGTTTTCCAATAGATCCATCATAAAGTATTATTACTTATGGTATCAAGTAATACTTTAGGTTTGATCTTGTTTTTTGTTGTAAATGAACTTACAAGTTGTTATTTGTTTAAGGTGGGTGGGTTTTGCGTGTAATAATTAATCAAAATAAGTAATTATCAGTAATTGATGGAATTTCAACTGATAAAATGTTGGACATCATTAACCAAAAGTCATCATCGAGTGTAAAAATTGACAGAGTCAATGAAACTTAAAGATGCAATAACGAAATGTATGCTCTAATTCAATCATATATCTTGAAAAAAATACAGATCACAATCATCATAGTTAATGAAAGTATAATCATCTGATTTTCACACATTGTCACTTTGATATGAAGGAGATTGGAACTTAGCTGATCTTCTGACGCCCCTTTCATGTGCTAATAAATAAATTGTTCACAAAGAATTTTTTAGCAAAATTAATCGATTTCAGATTCTTTTTATTAAAATAAAGTAAAAAAGTATTTCAATAAGTTGATTGCATTGCAAATTGAATATCTAAGCCACTTTACACAACTTTAAACACAGACATCAACTATTGATTCCAAGATGAAAATGGATCTCAACTTTTCTTTTTTACTTTGTTTTCTTTACTTAATTGATTCTGTTCATTGTGATGATTTCAAATGCCCTGAAAGGGGTAAAGTTGGTGAATTGAAAGTTCCAAATGTTCTCAGCTTGATCAGGTCTCAAACAGGTTATCAAACTTCTGTTGAAGTTAATAGCCCAACTCGAAACAATTTTGTGGATGATTATTTTGATGGGAAAAATAATGTTGGATATTTTGACATGGAAGTTACTGTTCAAGATGCAGCGAATCGACTTTATTATTATCATTCCACAGAGGAAAAGATTACTGTTCGTGAAAATACGTGTACAAGGTTCGACTTAACTCAGAGTGAGAAGATCGAATCGATCAAAGATTGGTTTGAACCAAAAGATATTGTCGCTAGTTCAGAAATCTTCAAAGATTTGGTTCATTTAGGACCAACAGTGTTGATGATTTATGCCAACAATATTAGTGATAAAGCTTCCTTCATAGGATCCGAACTGATTGAAGGTCGTGCTGTTAATCATTGGTTTTATTGTACCAATCCTAATGGACCTTACATTGACTTTTACTTTGATGTTAAGACCTCATTGCCTTATCGGTTCTTGTTGTATTATCCTGAATGGATTGAGACTCAGGAAGTCATTTCAATAAATGAAACTCGAGTAGTTAAGAAACAAGTCGATTCCGATGAAAAATATGTTTATAACTTTTACATGTTCAAACCGTTGGTCGCTTCAAGAAGAGATCAAATTCCATATCCATTGGGCTATGGGTGTGCGCGTAAAGGTGCTCTTCCATCTACTCCATTACCAGATTTCAGTCAATATAAAGAGTTTACTATGGACATGGAAGCTATCATTACTTATTCTGGCAGTGGGCTGATCAAATCGACTGCTCGTGTAATGAAAAGAGGCGATGTTATTTCTTATGAAATCCAAGAAGGAACTGATTTTGTTCGTTCCATTGAAATGCCTCCTTCTTTGGGACGATTTGAAGTTGATGAACACTCTGGTAGATGCCATCATTTAACATTTGCTCATTGGTCTGATGTTACACTAAGCACTCGTTGGCCTTTCCATCAAGATCGTGGCTTCAATCTATTGTATTATCTGGTAATGAAACCACCTCAAGATCATGCACCAACTTTCATTGGGGAAATACCTTTAGGACCATTACGAGTGGAGGAATACAGAGCTGCCAACTTCTTCTCGAATAGAGTGGATGCTATTGTCGACTATTATTATACAAGAAATACTAGTAATTCTGTTCCAAGTAAAGTCATATTCACCGCAGATCGAAACCAGAAATCGTATTACGCTGATATTCCAACACAAGTTGAAGTAACCATAGTTTATGCCGAAGATGGTGCAATGCATATTGATTTTGAAGATCGATTCGATGTTTCAGGTTGTTATCAAGAACCTGGAAGTTATACTTGGTTTCAACTTCTCTTTTCTAATCCTTGGCTGCATGAATCCAATATGCAAATGGTTAAGGAATCCACAGAAGAATACTTGGCTTCATTCATTCCGATAACTCGATTTGGTTCAATTCATGCACAACAAGTTGATTCTAATGTATATGTTACTGTTAAGCTTTATGATCGTGTACATTTCATTGAGGCTTATCGTCGTTTGAATAGCCAAACAATTATAAATCCTTCAAATATTTTGCAAAGATCTAAAGTTGAGGACTGTGAACAACTATGCACTGCGAATCCTGACTGTAATGAATTTAGTTATTGCGATGATTATACTTGTTCGATTCTTACAGAGCATTATAGCTGGTCACAAAAACAATATAAACAAGGATGTACATACTATTCTAGATGGGTGACGGAGGTCACTCCATTCGTTGATAAAAATTATTTGTCGGCAATGGAACATGTGTTGCAACAAATAAGGAATAAAGTCTCAGCAGGCGAAGTTTTTTTGCGTAGCGTTGCCCTATCAGCTGAAGAATTGTTCATTGTGAGTGGGCCTGATGAGATTGGCGATATTTCTCAGGAACTACATACAAGTGGTTCCAGTCCTTTAAGAGCTGAAGATTTTCCGATAATTAATACTAATCGTCATTTAAATGAAGCACTATTCAAGATCGAGAAAAGTACTCTTCAAGACTGTTTCATGGCTTGTTTAAATGATGATGATTGTAATACACTTTCATATTGTGTTAACCAGAACAAGGAATGTATTCTGAGTGGAGAAACATCGAGTTCATTGAAAGACGCACTCGACGACAAGACAAGTCATGCAGATGGATGCAACATCTATCAAAGTAAATACACTGTCACATTGATTTGAATTTCGCATATTAATTTCATTTCTCAATCTAAATCTAGAGTCATTTATGAATCTATTCCATGAGTATCCTGGCAAAAGTCTAGTTCTGGACGCAGTCTCAACCTTATCTAATGTACCAATTGTTGATTGTGCTAAAAGATGTGTTCAATCAAGTGATTTCAATTGTGAATCATTCGATTATTGCCAAGATAATGATAAAAGGTAAGTCGAAACTATCGCAGAATATTGAATGGTGAAAGAAACCTCTTTTATTTCAAGAAACAAACAATTTTCTAAATTTTATTGCACTTCTTGCTAACCTGTAATAGAAGCTGGTGAAAAATATACAGCGTACAATGATACTTTTAAAATCGTTGTGACATTACTAATATATGCTCATCTATGAAAAAGTTTAATGAATTTTTATTTTATTTTTGTATCCCAATTGCTTCCAGAAATGAATCTGACTGCTTCTTACATGTTAACCACATTGAGATAGACAAAGCTCATCAAATAAATGCAACAAACTGGAAGTTGGCTGAAGCTGGATGTTCCCATTATTCAAGTGAGAATCTTGAAATTGATCTAACATTACTTTGCAATCTGGTTAATATTTACTAATTCAACAACCTTTTCACTTCCACAGAAAAATCTGAACTTGATTATGAACATAAAGTTGGACTTGCATTGAAAGATAATATGAAAGAAACAATTGTTGCAACCTTTGACCATTTATCATTAGAACACTGTACTTCCAGATGCAATTCAGATGCTAATTGTTTTACTCTCGAGTTTTGTCAATCAATTGACTATGATCAAGTCTCCGATAGCAGTGTTTCATTGACGAGTTGTTCATTGACAAACTTGAAACCAGGTAATCAACCTGGACTATTTGAAGTACCAAAAAGCAACAAAATTTGCTCAATTTACATAAATCACAAAAAGATCACAGACAAAAGTAAAACTGACCCACAACCATCTGCATTAATAATGCCATCTGAAGCACCAACTAAATCAAATAATTGGATAGCAATTGGATTGGGGACAATAGTCTGTTTAATGGCCTTTGCTGGTGGGTTCATTGGATTTAAATTTGCTATCAAAAAAGGAATCATTTCATAGACTAACTTATCAGAGGAAAACTGAAGATGAATGTTTAGGAATCATTCATTCTTGATCAACATGGTTCATTTATTCAACATATTTGTGTAAGGACCATTGCAAATAGTTCTTAATTTTTTTGATACGAGGTTTTTAATTAAAATAATCAAACTTTGGTCTCTTTTTGTACAGTTGAGGCGCCAGATTTTTATAATATACAATGTACTAACTGCTGTTCACTCGGCTTTTGCATATATTCCTAATCCAACAATAAACTATTAAACACAATGCTAAAAATACGGATTCTGTAGTTTCTCTCACCCTGTTTAAATGCGAATTCCTCAGCAACTGAAATCTGATTGAGCTCTGACTATTTCGTACATATATTAATAGTTTAATTGCAGCTTTCAGTCTATGGAAAAATTTTCCTTAGAATCCTATCTGTTTCCTCACAGTTTTTATACAAAAATTTGATGTTTTCACTTTACATATTGCATATGAGTGCATGGATTAATTAATTATGTAATTTATGTTACAACAAAAAACTAACAGATTCTCATTTTCAAGCAAAACTTGTCTTCGCTTTAAAACGGATAATATTTATGCTGAAAAGCAAATCAATGTTTAGATAAAAAATTTGATTTTAAATTTTTCGGTATCTTCAGACGATTTCTGCAGTTTTCGCATGCATGCTACAAAAAATCAACTAAAGTCTGTGTGGCTTAACAGACTTTGTAAATACAACGATCAGGACTTGGACTTTTTACCACCATATTTCAATCACTTTTTTCATCACAAAAATTCACCATATTCGCATAGTTCACCTTTTTCGGAAGTTACTCTTAAATATAAATTCATGTTGAAAAGAATATCATTTTTCACTGAAAATGTCCTCAACATTGAGAAAGAATCAACTAACAAATAAAAAATCAGATTATTCATGAAAACCATGAAATCAGAGAAGCCTAAAAATTGATTGTTTATTTAGATCAGGTACACTGGCACTCATCAATAGTTATTAATAATTTTCATGAAATGTGAAAACATAGAAAAATGATTGGAATTACTTGGAATTCATCTTGATTTTTTGTTGTAAATGAACTTAAAAAGTTAGTTATTGAAGGTAGGTGGGTTTTGCGTTGTAATAAACAATGGACAACTATCGATACTTTTTATTGAAATAAAAGTAAATAAATATTTCAAATAGCGCATTTCATTGACAATTCAATATTGAAGCCACTTTACACAACTTGTACACCAAACATCAACTATTGATTTCAAATTGAAAATGGATCTCAAATTTTCTTTTCTTATTAATAATTAATTTGATACAGTGTGATGATTTCAAATGCCCTGAAAGGAGTAAAGTGGTACATTGGAAGTTCCAAATGTTCTCAGTTTGATTGATAAACAAACTGGTTATCGTGCTTCTGTTGAAATGGCTAATCAAATTAATCATAACATCTTGGTCCATGATTATTTTGATGGGACGAATAATGTTGGGTACGTTGACTTGGAAGCAATCATTCAAGATAAAATGAATCGACGTTACTACAATCCTGGCAATAAGTTTGAGGACACCAGATTTTTGTGAATATTAAGGCATACTCACTTGTTTCGATTGATTTATGACTTAACGTTGTGTTGAATGCATTAACTGTATAATACAGTGATGATAATAGTGCATTCTCACTTGTGTGGGTGTTGTTTTCAACTTTTAACTTTTTGAGGTTTTGCGCATGTCCGAAAAGTTGGTCAAAATTTTCAAAGTTTTTTTTGGGTCACTTGTCCGATTGTTTGACTTTATCCCTCTGACCCTATTTTGTTACCCTTTTACCCCACCAAAATGCAAAGGTTTCTTATTAAAAGTGAGACCAGGGATGATGGACCTATTTGTGTCATAATTCCCGAGCAATTTTTCACCGTGGAGCACGAACCACCACAACCTCCATCTCCAATTCCACCTTCGTCTCCCCTTCCACCTCCACCATCGTGTCCACTTCCACCTTCGTCTTCTCTTCCACCTTCATCGCCTTCTTTTGTCTTTCGGTACCCCAAGTTTTTGAACCGCTCGTCATCACCATCATCATCATCATCAATTCACTCTTTCGAGTCGAAAATGTCCCTCTACCCCCTCCACCCCCTCCACCTCCACCTCGACCACGACCAACACCAAAACCAGCAATTTCAAATTATTGCAAACGAAAATTACGAGGACGATGTTTGCGTTTTGAGGCTCTGCGTAAGCGAGCCACAAAACAAGGAAAAATGTAAGTTTAATTGTTTTCTTATTAGATATGAAAATCTGATTCCTTAATTTTTCGAACCTAAAAGTAAGGTTAGGTTTGGTTAGGTTAGATTAAAAATCAATAGACATACAAGAGAATCTAACTCTTCTTGAAAAACTATTGTCAGAATAAGAAATTTAAAAGTTAGGTTAGGTTTGGTTAGGTTAGATTAAAATCAAAAACATTCAAAAGACTCAAATTCTTAATGAAAAAACTAATTTCAGAATAAGAAATCCGAAAGTTAGGTTAGGTTTGGTTAGATAAGGTTAGGTCCAGCCGTAGTTAAAGTATGGCTGGAAATTTCATTCATATATAAAAGCCATCAGATTCTTAGTTTTATATAACAAAAACTAATCAAAGTTTTCTCTTTTTTAGATTAAAAACCAATAGCCCTGATAAGGCAATTAAGAGGGCCACGAAATTTTTGCATACGAATGCGACGGCTACATCAGAGTAGCCGATCGCAGAACATTATTGAATTTGATTTCAACTCTTTGCTCATTGAGCAAATAAAAAATTTTAACTTGAAAAATAAAGTTTCAAATCTGACAACATAAGTAATACAATGCTATAAATTTTTGTAGAATCCTGAATAGTTCAAAATTCATTTCATTATGAACCATAATAAAATCTTATGTTTGGTTGAAGAATGATGATTGTAAGTAATGCTATTCTCGAAATATTGATGTTCAAAGTTTTAAGTCAATGGCCAAAATTAAGAGAACTGTTGGTAAATTGAAACAACATTCAGTCCATGATGTGTAATAACAATTTTTATCGACAAATAATAAGTTTCAGCTTTCTAACTTTTACGGCCATAGAATGTGAAAGGTTTAACTGAAAATTGAACTTGATCTGTTTTCAGAAACAGAAAATTTCATTTCTCAAAATAAGGTTCCTGGTTGACCATCAAAAGATACATCAGTAAAATGAGTTTCATGAAAAAATCGTTATTTTTGAAAGTTTACTCCAATTTGTCAAAAGTTCCTTTGTTTTTTACGAATAGCTTTCACTAATTGGTAGTGAAAAATAAAATATAATTGGGAAGCTTTTAGTGAAAAACAAAGAAATTGCTGACAAATTGGAGTAAACATCCGGTAAAAGGTGGCTGAAAAGTTTTTGTTAAAGGTTAATGGGATCAAACTCCAGTTTTTCTTTTGTTTAATTTACGAGTTTGATCCCATTAACCTTTGCATATTTGAAATATCTCTAGCCCACTTATTATTGCGGCTATCTCTAGCCCACTTCATTGTCTTTCCTCTTCTCTTTCTTTTTTAATCTCTTTCTTCTTCTCTTTCTTTTTATCCTCTTTCTTTTCTTCTTCCTCTCTTTCTCCTCTTTCTTCTCTTCTCTTTCTCCTTCTCTTTCTTTTTCTCTTTCTTTTTCTCTTTCTTTTTCTCTTTCTTTTTCTCTTTCTCCTTTAATTGGTGTTCCAGAGTAGTGGGCCAAAGTGGGCTGCTTCTATACTACTTTAGATCTTGATCCTGATTCATTTTTCATTCATTCAGAATTTCATTTTAAAATTTTCAATTAAAAGAAATGAAATCGCTAATAATAGCCTTTTGAAAAGGATTACAGCTTCAAACTTATGCTTCAACCTAATACAAATAATTCTATAAATAATTATTATATTATATATTAAATATTAATAATGATACTTTTAGTCATTTTAATATTATTTTTTACTACATTTATGAATAGCTCATATGAAATTTTCATATTAATTTTTATTACAATTGCTTCTAGAAATGAAACTGTCTGCTTCTTACATGTTAACCACATTGAGATTGATAAAGTTCATCAAATAAATGCAACAAACTGGAAGTTGGCTTTGAACTGGAACTTGTATTGAAAGAAAATACTAAAGAACCAATTGTTGCTACCTTTGACCATTTATCATTAGAACACTGTGCTTTCAGATGCAATTCAGATCCTAATTGTTTTACTCTTGCATTCTGTGAAACAATTTATCATAAGAAAATTGCCGATGGCAGTGTTTCATCGACGAGCTGTTCATTGTCCAACTTTAAACCAAGTATTTTCTATCAACTTGAACTATTTAAAGGATCAAAAAGCAACGAAAAAATCTGCACAATCCATACATCCATACAATATAAAAAGTCAAAAGATCAAATTTTTTGTAAGAATTGTAACTAAACGGAGAGGATTCTACGGAAGATTTTTGCACAAACTGAAAGCCACGATTGAACTGTATGTTCAAATACCAGTCAGAGGTTAATCAGAATTCAGATTACTGAGAAATTCACGTTCAAACAGGGCAGGGGGAAAAATGCAGAATTCGTATTCTGTAGCATTGTGTTTGGGGGAAAAACTTTTTGGTTATTTAGGTTGATGGATTATTGTTGGACAAGGGTTATATGCAAAACTTTCTTTCGAGTAAAATCTGGTGCCTCGGCTATTCAAGAAGAGACCAAATGACAAATTTTGAACTCAATTTCGTCAATGATTGTCCACCAGAGAAAATTTTTAATTCAGCATTTGAAAAGTAATTTATGTTACAACAAAAAATAAATAAACAGATTCTCATTTGCAAGCAAAACTTATCATTTCGCTTTAAAACTGGTATTTATGCTGAAAAGCAAATCGATGTTTAGATGATAAAGAATTTGATTTTGAATTTTTCTGTATCTTCAGACGATTTCTGCAGTTTTCGCATGTATGCTACGAAAAATCAACTAAAGTCTGTTTGGCTTAACAGACTTTGTAAATGCGATACTCAGGGCATCAAATTTTTACCACCATATTTCAATAAATTTTTTCATCACACAAATGCGTTCACATAATTGTTCACCTTTTTCGAAACTAACTCTTAATAAATAGAAATTCATGTTGAAAAGAATATCGTTTTTCACTAAAAATATCCTCAACTTTGAGAAAGAATTAACAAAACAGATCATTAATGAACACCATGAAATCGATCAGAGAAGCTTGAAAATTTACTGTTGGTTTGGATCAGGTACACTGGCGCTGTCAATAGTTAATGGCACTGTTAATAATTTTCATGGAGAGTGATCATGAAATATGAAAACACAGAAAGCGTGAATGGAAAGGACTTTGGAATTTCATCTTGATTTTTTGTTGTAAATGAACTTAAAAAGTTAGTTGTTGAAAGTAGGTGGGTTTTGTGTGAGTTAAGATTGTAATAAACAATAGATTATCATAATATGTTTAATAGGTTATTGAATGGATTATTAATAAAATTTCAGATGATAAAATGTTGGACATCATTAATTACAGGTCATCAGCGAAAGTATAAATTGACAGAATTAGGGAAACGCAAAGATAAGTATTAATTGAATGTAAAATCTAATAGTAGTTCGTTCATATTTATTATACAATATGCAGATCAAAATGGTCACAGTTGATGAATGCTGCAAAAATTTAATATAATCATCTGATTTTAACACATTGTCACCTTAATGTTAATGAGAGTAGATCTAGGATGATCTCATGACGCCCCTTTGAGTGCTAATAATTTTTGAGATAAAATGTTTTATCACATCGATTTCAAATGCTTTTTGTTCAAATAAAAGTCGAAAAGTGTTTCAATTAGTTTATTTCATTGAAAATTGGATATTGAAGCCACTTTTCACATTTCAACATAAAACATTAACAATTGATTCCAAGATGAAAATGGATCTCAACTTTTCTTTTTTACTTTGTTCTCTTCACTTAATGCATTCTATTATTTGTGATGATTTCAAATGCCCTGAAAGGGGTAAAGTTGGTGAATTGAAAGTTCCAAATGTTCTCAGTTTGGTTGATAAACAAACAGGATATCGTTCTTCTGTTGAAATTACTAATCCAATTAATTATAACAGCTTGGTCAATGATTATTTTGATGGGAAAAATAATGTTGGATATATTGACTTGGAGGCAACTATTCAAGATTCAATGAATCGACTTTACTATTACCATTCCACAGAGGAAAAGATTACTGTTCATAAAAATACGTGTACAAGGTCAGACTTAAATCAGAATGAGAAGATCGAATCTATCAAAGATTGGTTTGAACCAAAAGATATTGTCGCCAGTTCAGAAATCTTCAAAGATTTCGTTCATTTGGGACCAGCAGGATTGATGGTCTATGCCAACAATATAAGTGATAAAGCTTCGTTCATAGGATCCGAACTGATTGAAGGTCGTAATGTTAATCATTGGTTTTATTGTACTGATTCCAATGGACCTTACATTGACTTTTACTTTGATGTTAAGACCTCTTTGCCTTATCGGTTCTTGTTGTATTATCCTGAATGGATTGAGACTAAGGAAGTCATTTCAATAAATGAAACTCGAACAGTCAAAAAGCAAATTGATTCCGAGTCTAAATATGTTTACAACTACTACAGGTTCAAACCGTTGGTCATAGCAAGTAGTGATATCATTCCATATCCACTTGGTTATGGATGTGCTCGCAAAGATACTCGTCCATCTACTCCATTACCAGATTTCAGTAAAGTTAAAAAGTTCACTATGGACATGGAAGCGGTACTAACATATCCTGAAAGGGACCCTATCAAATCAACTGCTCGAGTAATCAAAGTGGGCGATGTTATTTCATACGAAATTCAAGAAGGAGCAGCTTTCGTTCGTTCCATTGAAATGCCTCGTCCTTTAGGGCGATTCCAAGTGGATGAACGCACTGGTCGATGCATTTATTATAATTCTGATTATTCGTCTAATGTTACACTAATCACTCGTTGGCCTTTTCATGAAGATCGTGGCTTTAATCTATTGCATTATCTGGTAATGAAGCCACCTCGAGATCATGCAACAACTTTCATTGGTGAAATTCCTTTAGGACCATTACGAGTGGAAGAGTACAGATCTGCTAACTTCTTCTCGAATAGAGTAGATGCTATTGTTGATTATTATTATGAAAGGAATATTAGTAATTATGTGCCAAGTAAAGTCATATTCACCAGAGATAGAAGTGATGATTACTATGATCTCTGGACCGATCCACCTCAAATTGAAGTAACCATAATTAATTATGAAGACGGTTACATTGATTATGAAGATCGATTCGATGTTTCTGGTTGTTATGAAGAACCTGGAAGCTTTATTTGGTTTCAACTCTTCCTTTCTAATCCTTGGATGAGAGAGTTCAATATGCAAGAAATCAAAGAAATAACAGAAGAATATTTGATTTCATTCATTCCAATAACTCGCATTGGTGCAATTCATACCCAACAAGTTGATTCTAATGTATATGTTACTGTTAAGCTTTATGATCGTTTGAATTTCATTGAGGCTTATAGTCGCTGGGAAGAATATAAAATTATTAATCCTTCAAATATTGTACAAAAATCTAAAGTCGAAGACTGTGAACAACTTTGCAGTGCGAATCCCAACTGTAATGATTTTAGCTATTGCGACGATTACGATTGTTCGATTTTTACAGATCGTTATTTAGAATACGAAGAATACGAAGGCTGTACATTTTATACTAGAAAAATAACGGAGGTCACTTCATCCGTTGATAAAAATTTATTGTCAACAATACCACACGTGTTGCAACAGATACGGAATAAAGTCTCAGCAGGCGAATTTCGTTTAGCCGTATCTGGTATAGCAGCTGAAGATTTGTTCATAGTGAGTGGACCTGAAGAGATCGGAGATATTTCCCAGGAACTATTAATATATACAAGTGGTTCCAGACCTTTAAGAGCTGATGATTTTCCCCTGATAAACACTAATCGTCATTTCAATGAGGCACAATTCAAGATGGAGAAAAGTACTCTTCAAGATTGTTTCATGGCTTGTGTCAATGATGATGATTGTAATACACTTTCATATTGTGTTAACCAGAATAAGGAATGTATTCTGAGTGGAGAAACTCCGAGTTCATTGCAAGAAACACTCGACAAAAAAACGAGCCATGCAGATGGATGCAACATCTATCAAAGTAACTATACTTTCACATTGATTAGTATTGCTTGAACTAATTTTGTTCCTCGATCCTTTGTTCCTAGAGTCCTTTATGAATCTATTCCATGAGTATCCTGGCAAAAGTCTAGTTCTGGATGCCGGCTCAACCATATCTAATGTACCAATTGATGATTGTGCTAAAAGATGTGCTCAATCAAATGATTTCAATTGTGAATCATTTGATTATTGCCAAGATAACAATCAAAGGTAAGTCGAAACTTATCACTAAATTTTTGACACACTATGTGATACTAAAGGCAATAAAATGATAAATGAAGATGAACAGTGCTTCCAACTTGACATGGGCATCAACTGTATTCACATATTAGATTCAAATTTGCGATACATAGTGCTGAATACATTCGATACACATGTGTTTGTATGAAAATTTCTGTAATTTTTTTTCTCAAACAATTTCCTTTGTGCCTTTGACTACAAGTAAAAATAGAGATTTTCATTCCCATCGATCACCTTTAAACTCAAAAAAAGTGGCGCAAGTATCATACAGTCACCCGTCACTATTATTAACGACACTTCAAAAGTTATTGCAATATTCTTTTTTGATTACATTTATTGAATATTATAAATACAAGTGGAGCCCACGATCATAACTGATCGTAAATTTCTTTTCTCTGCATACAACAAACCCAACTCTATATTCAAAGACTCAAATTCTTGATTAAAACCATCGTCAATTTGAAAAAATAAATCAAATAAAATTATGTTTTACAACTAAATCAAATAGTTTGCACTTTGAATTTGGATTTCATCAAAAACCTTGGATCAGAGAAATTTTTTAATAACACGAAGCGTGCTATTCTGCGTAGTAACTCAAACCTCATGCCATGAAAGTTCATGAAGCCGCAACTCTTAACTCGAAATGCAAAGTTCAGGCAAACTTCCACTAAATTACTCAATAGTAAAGCATTATTTTATTAAATTAAGAAATAATTCTGTCTCCACAATTTTTCTGATTAGTCTTAGATTTTTACAGTACCTGAACATGATTTTTGTATGAATTTGAGTTCCTATGAAGACCAAGTTTGACTTTTGAAAGCTATTACATCAAATACCTCAACAGTAAACAGAAAATTTATTAAATCCAAAAATATTTTAATTTGAATTATGATGAATTTTGGTTGATTCCACTTGTTCAATTAAGTAGTTTTTCTGATGGTTAGTCATAGACAAAATCGAATCCGTAGTTGGAACTTTATCTCTTTTTGTAGGGACTGTAATTTTTCCACCAATTTGCCGCCATTTTTTACCTTCTTTTCGCCGTATCGTACACAACCATTTAAGTTTGAACTTTGAGAGCAATAGCACCAAATATCCACCAAGAGAATCATCGAAATCATTCGTTTACCCCTATGGTTACAGTGCGTATGCTAAAAGGTCAATAAATCACAACTTTAATTTCGAAAGTTTAGACACTTACAAATCATCCAAAAGTAAACCATAAATCATCAAACTAAAAAATATTTGCTGTGCTCCACAATGCTTTTGAATACAGGTTTTTCCAATGTCACGTCAAGCGTGCAAATCGCCCACGTATCGTCAAATACCTTCGATCAGAGAAATTTTTTAATAACACGGAGCATGCTATTCTGCGTAGTAACTCAAACTCTCATGCCATGAAAGTTCATTGGATCACAACTCTCAACTCGCAATTCAAAGTTCAGGCAAACTTCCACTAAATTACTCAATAGTAAAGCATTATTTTATTAAATTAAGAAATAATTCTGTCTCCACAATTTTTCTGATTTTTCTTAGATTTTTACAGTACCTGAACATGATTTTTGTATGAATTTGAGTTCCTATGAAGACCAAGTTTGACTTTTGAAAGCTATTACATCAAATACCTCAATAGAATCAGAGAAATCTTTTAATTACGCGAATGGTTACGGTTCGTATGCTAAAAGTTCATCAAGCCGCAATCCTTAACTTGAAAGTCAAAGCTGAGACACATTTAATCATCAAACAGTAAACAGAAAATTCATTAAATCCAAAAATATTTGCTTTCTCAATGCTTTTGAATACTGTTTTTTCACTGCCACCCTGGACAGGATTTTCTTAGAAATCTGAGTTTCCTAGAAAGTTAACACTTTTAAAGGGATTTCATCAAACAACTTCGATCAGAGGAATTCTTTTATTACACGAAGCGTGCTAATTCGCGTAATATCTGCAACTCTTATTGTACCGAAAGTTTATCAAATCGCAACTTTTAAATCGAAATTTACAGTTGATAAACTTATTCATCATCCATCATATGAAAAGTGTTGCTTTTCAGACCACCTTTACATGACTTTCTCATCATTCTGAGTTGCTATTCCTACTTACTAAGTTGAGACACATATGAATCATTAAAAGTAGACAGTAACTTCATCGAATTGCAAAATATTTGCTGTCTTCCACAATGTCTTCTGCACTGCCACCCTGAAAAGGATTTTCTTAGGAATCTGAGTTTCTAGAAAGCTTAAGTTTTAACTTCAAAAACGGATTCCATCAAACATCTGCGATGAGCGGAGTTTTCCACCACTATTGCACCGTATTGTACACGCCCTAATCGTGAAAATTCACCACATCCACCGAGCAAACATCATCACTTTTTAAAGGAATTTTTCTCAAAAATTGTCCATCACTTCCATCCACCAGCATGGCTTTTTTCACCATACTTTCCACCTTTTTCACCATACTTTCCACCTTTTACACCATATTTTGCATCACTTTTTTCAACACTTTTTTACCTTATTGTTACCACTCAATCTAACACATTCACCACATCCACTAATTCAAACTTCATCACTTGTTGAAGAGACTTTTCTCAAAAAAATTGTCCACCAATTTAAAGTAGCTTTTTCCACCACACTTTCCACCTCTTTTCATTGTATTGTCCACCACTTTTATCAACCACTTTTTTACTGTTCTTTCACCGTACTCTCCAGTATAATACCTACCACCCAGCCTAACACATCCACCAAATCAACCAAATCAAAATCATTACTTTTTAAAAAGACTTTTTTCAACAAAATTGTCCAACAGATTTTCATCCACTTTCAGTCACCAATTTAGAGCAGCATTCCACCATATTTGCGAACAATTTTTTAGATTATCCACAAACCAAATCATACTTAATGTCCACTTTTACACCTTCTAACACATCCACTGTTCATCGCCATCATATCCCAAAAGTGGTCAAAATTTGGTGGTTTAGGTGGTGGATAATCTTATAAAAATGGTTTGATATTGTGGTGGAAAAAACTCACTCTAAAGTGATGGATGAATGTGGTGAAACTTTCAACTCAAGAAAGGTCTCTTTAAAAAGTGATGTTTGATTTGGTGAATGTTGTGGATGTGGTAGATGATGGATATCAATATGATGGACAATACGGTGAAAAAACGGTAAAAAAGTGGTGGATAAAGGGATGAATGCGATGGAAAAAAGCTGAGCCCCAATTATGACTGATCGTAAATTTCTTTTCACTGAATACAATAAATCCAATCCACATTTAGAGACTAAAATTATTGATGAAAAACCATTGACAATGAGAAAAAATAAAATAAAAAGACAATGTCCAAAAACTTTGATTTCACCGTTAAGAGTTGGGACTTAGTGAGTTTTTAGGGGTATAAAAACTGAGTCTATCAGTGCTATTGAAAATTTGTTGAGTCGCCAGTTTTCGATAAAATTGAGGTCAAATTTAAAGCTTCAATCTTCAATAACGATTCTCGATACAAAAGCTACCAAAATGATATTGAATTGAATCAATTCAGCTTGAGCTTGATCTTTGTACACGAATTTCTTAATCAAAATTGATAATTTACTTGCCATAGCTGTAACAATTAGTGGCAAGATTTCTTTAAAGTTGTAAAAGGTTTTGACTCTGTTTGTTTTAAAGCTTAAATGTGGCGAGTTTACAGGACACCACATATTTTTTACCTAACTCTTTTCTCGAAAAATGGTTTTACATATCCTTCTAATTTAACAATAAACCAACAACCTGAACAACCAAAAAATTTTTCCCCCAAAATCAATGGTAAAAGATACGGATTCTGCATTTTTTCCCCTACCCTGTTTAAACGCTAATTTCTCAGGGACCTGAATTCCGATGAAGTCCAGACTATTTTTCGTGGATGTGGTTAATCATGGCTTTCAAGCTGTGAAAAAATTTTCTTTAGAATCCATTCAGTTTGGCCACAATCTTTACGCAAAAATTTCATGTTTTGACTTTATATATTGTATGTATAGATGTATAGATTTCTAATAAATTGTTATTTTATTTTTTATCCCAATTCCTCCCAGAAATGAATCTGTTTGCTTCTTACATGTTAACCACATTGAGATAGACAAAGCTCATCAAATAAATGCAACAAACTGGAAGTTGGCTGAAGCTGGATGTTCCCATTATTCAAGTAAGAACCTTGACTTTAACCTAAAATTGTCTAAAATCTGGTTAATATTCACTAATTATTCAATCTATTACTTTGACAGAAAAATCTGAACTCGATTATGAACATAAAGTTGGACTTTCATTGAAAACGAAAAAATCAATTGTTGGAACCTTTGACCATTTATCACTAGAACACTGTGCTTCCAGATGCAATTCAGATCCTAATTGTTTTACTCTCGAGTTTTGTCAATCTATTGACTATGATCGAGTTTCCGATAGTAGTGTATCATTGACGAGTTGTTCATTGACCAACTTGAAACCAGGTAGTCAACCTGGACTATTTGAAGTACCAAAAAGCAAAAAAATTTGCTCAATTTACATAAATCACAAAAAGATCACAGACAAAAGTAAAACTGACCCAAAACCATCTGCATTAATAATGCCATCTGAAGCACCAACTAAGTCGGGCAATTTGAAGATAGCTATTGGATTGGGGGCAATAGTCTGTTTAATGGCCTTTGCTGGTGGATTCGTTGGATTTAAATTTGCTATCAAAAAAGGAATCATTCCATAGACTAATTTATTGACAACCAAAAACATCATTATTAGAGGAAAACTGAAGATGAATGTTTATGAATCATTCAATCTTAATCGGATACATTGATGAAACATGTAATATTTATATAAGGACCATTGGCAAATAACACTTTGACTCTAGAAGTTTTTAGCGCCACAAAAAGGAGTCCATTAACACTATTATGTATTTTTCATCTTATTAATTGAACTCATTATCGCGGTGAAACATCGCGGTACAACAATTTTAGTCCCAGTAATCAATTGTATCGATTTTACAATTTACAAAGAATGAAAACAAAAGATGTTTTTGATCTTAAAAGCAATTGAATAAGCGTTTCTTACATTATAACCTTTGTGGATAAATTATGCGACTTTTTATAATGTGTTTGTATGGGTTAAAGTCCCAAGAAAACAAGTGTATAAAAACAAGATTTCAATTTTGTGCAATTAAATATTTTATTCTGTGTTTTCATTAATAATAAGACTATCGTTTTCAATAAAAGATACTCTTTTGCGAAAGAAGTGCTACTAAATCACACAACAGATCTATCATAAAGTCACAAAAATCATAAAATCAATCAGGAACATTGGCAATTAATTGTCCATAGTTTTGATAATATTGATTTAGAATGATTATAAATGTGAAAACACAGGAATCATGCTTATAAAGTATTTTGGGTTTGCTCTTGTTTTTTGTTGCAAATGAACTTAAAAGTTGCTATTTGTTCAAGTGGGTGGATGTTGTGTAAAATAAGATTGTAATAAACAATAACTAATAGTTGATTGCATGAATAATTGATAGGATTTCAACTTATTGATTGTTGGACATCATTGCTAACAAGACATCATTAAATGAATTGATCAATTCAAAATTAATGAAATAAATCAGATCAAATAAATCAAATGAATAATTAAAATGATCTACAATAGTCAAATCATATTTCTTGTACAAAACGATCAGATACGTTAATGAAAGTAGCAATATTTAATATAATCATTTGATTTTCACACCTTATAATTTAAGTAAGATTAAAACTTGAATGATCTTCTGACGCCCATTCGAGTGCTAATGTTTTGAGATAAAATGTTCTAGCTCAATCATTCGATTGCAGCTTCTTTTTATTCAAATAAAAGTAAAAAAGTGTTTCAATTAGTTTATTTCATTGCAATTGAGTGTTGAAGCAACTCTTCACAACTAAACCACCGGCCATCAACAATTGATTCCAAGATGAAGATTGATCTCAACTTTTCTTTTTTCCTTTGTATTATTTTCACAATTAATTCAATTATTTGTGATGATTTCAAATGCACTGAGAGGGGTAAAGTCGGTGAATTAAAAGTTCCAAATGTTCTCAGTTTGATTGATAAACAAACAGGTTATCGTTCGTCTGTTGAAATTTCATCTCCGATTCATTATAACACATTGGTCCATGATTATTTTGATGTGAAAAACAATGTTGGATATATCGACTTGGAGCAGACCATCCATAGTACAATGAGTCGTAGTTATTATTATCATTCAACAGAGGAAAAGATTACTATTGGTGCAAAAACTTGCAAAAACTTGGACTTAACTCAGAATGAGAAGATCGAATCAATCAAAGATTGGTTTGAACCAAAAGATATTGTCGCAAGCTCAGATATGTTTAAAGATTTGGTTCATTTGGGACCAACAGTGTTGATGATTTATGCCAACAGTATTAGTGATAAAGCTTCGTTCATAGGATCCGAACTGATTGTAGGTCGTGCTGTTAATCATTGGTTTTATTGTTCTGATCCTAATGGACCTTACATTGACTTTTACTTTGATGTTAAGACCTCTTTGCCCTATCGGTTCTCGTTGTATTATCCTGAATGGATTGAGACTCAGGAAGTCATTTCAGTAAATGAAACAAAAATAGTTAAAAAGCAAGTTGATTCCGATTCTAAATATGTTTACAACTATTACATGTTCAAACCGTTGGTGATAACATCAGATGAAGCCATCCAATTTCCATTGGGTTATGGGTGTGCTCGAAAAGGTGGTCGTGCAACCACTCCATTACCAGATTTTGGTCAAGTCAAAAAGTTCTCTATGGACATGGAAACGATACTCACATATCATGATAGTGACCCGATCAAATCAACTGCTCGAGTCATGAAACGAGGCGATGTTTTTTCATTCGAAATTCAAGAAGAAACTGATTTCGTTCGTTTCATTGAAATGCCTCGTCCTTTAGGGCGATTCCAAGTGGATGAACACACTGGTCGATGCAATTATTTAACAGCAGATTATGGGTATTATGAAACACTAATCACTCGTTGGCCTTTCCATCAAGATCGTGGCTTCAATCTATTGTCTTATCTGGTTATGAAACCAACTCTTAAACTATATTATGGACCACAATTCATTGGTGAGATACCTTTAGGACCAGCGCGAGTGATGAAATACAGAGCTCCTGACTTCTTCGCAGATAAAGTTGATGCTTTTGTCGATTACTTTTACACACAGAACACCAGTGATTCTGTTCCAAGTAAGATCGTATTCACTCCAGATCGAAATGATTATTATTATGATTCCATTGATGCCCCAACTCAAGTTGAAGTAACCATAGTTAATTACCAAGACAGTTACATTGATTTTGAAGATCGATTCGATGTTTCTGGTTGTTATGAAGAACCTGGAAGCTTTACTTGGTTTCAACTCTTCATTTCAAATCCTTGGATGAGTGAATACAATATGGTAACAATCAAGGAATCAACAGAAGAATACTTGACATCATTCATTCCGATAACTCGCATTGGTGACATCCATGTGCAAGAAGTTGATTCTAATGTATATGTTACTGTTAAGCTTTATGATCGTGTACATTTCATTGAGACTTATCGATATTCGACTCAACAAACGTTGATGCGTCCTACAAATATCATGCAAAGATCTAAAGTCGAAGACTGTGAACAACTGTGCAGTGCAAATCCCGACTGTTATAATTTTAGTTATTGTGACGATTATGACTGCTCACTTTATGCAAGTCTTCGTGGTATCCCATCGACAGAATTCAAATCAAAATGCACATACTATAATAGAGCAAGAGCGGAGGCCACTCATTTAGTCAGTGAAAATTATTTGTCAACAATACCACACGTATTACATCAGATAAGGAATAAAGTCTCAGCAGGCGAATTTCGTTTAGACAATGTTGACCTATCAGTCGAAGATTTGTTCATCGTGAATGGACCTGAAGAGATCGGAGATATTTCCCAGGAACTATATACAAGTGGTTCAAGACCTTTAAGAGCTGAAGATTTTCCGATGATCAAAACCGACCGTCTTTTCAAGGAAGCACAATTCAGGATCGAGAAAAGTACTCTTCAAGATTGTTTCATGGCTTGTGTCAATGATGATGACTGTAGTGCACTTTCATATTGTGTTAATACGAATAAGGAATGTATTCTGAGTGGAGAAACGCCGAGTTCATTGAAAGAAACACTTGAAGATAAAACAAGTCATGCAGATGGATGTAACATCTATCAAAGTAAATATGTCGCATTCATTCGTATTCCCTGAACTAACTTTATTAATCAATTTCAATCTAGAGTCCTTTATGAATCTATTCCATGAGTATCCTGGCAAAAGTCTAGTTCTGGATGCCGTCTCAACCTTATCTAATGTACCAATTGGTGATTGCGCTAAAAGATGTGCTCAATCAAATGATTTCAGTTGTGAATCATTCGATTATTGCCAAGATAATGGTAAAAGGTAAGTCGAGACTTCGATTGACCGCATCACTTTATTTTAAATTTCTTATGTGAATAATGAACTTGAATGAAAATCCTTGATAGTTAATTTAAAGTTATTATAACAAATAGTCGAATAAAATGTATCAATCAGTTGAAAAAGTTTGGAATGATTAGTCCCAAACTTTCCCCCACAGGTTATATATTAGGCAATCAGATGGTAGTCTTGAGTTTGAATTTGGCAATACACTTCAGTCAACGCACATTTTTTCCAGATACCACTTCAGAGTCAAAAAATTCAACGCACCTCAATAATCCTTTAGTTAAAACAAAGATTTCGTTTAGCCCTTCTCAGAATTGTTAAGAATACGACGAATTTGCAAGACAGATAAATAGACAGAAACAAGAAATCGGAGAATAATTACTTTTTCTGATTTTAGACACTTGATAAGGATACTCGTAAAGTTGATGTGGTATATTTGGGTGCTCATCTATGAACAGTTCTAATGAATTGTCTTTTTATTTTTGTATCCCGATTCCTTTCAGAAATGAATCGGTTTGTTTCTTACATGTTAACCACATTGAGATAGACAAAGCTCATCAAATAAATGCAACAAACTGGAAGTTATCTAAAACCAATAATTTTTAGTTCAATTTCTACCTTTCAAGCATTTTATTTCTGACACCCTTTAGTTGCTATTCACTAATTATTCAATCTATTACTTTGACAGAAAAATCTGAACTTGATTATGAACATAAAGTTGGACTTTCATTGAAAACGAAAGAAGCAATTGTTGGTACCTTTGACCATTTATCACTAGAACACTGTGCTTCCAGATGCAATTCAGATCCTAATTGTTTCACTCTCGAGTTTTGTCAATCTATTGACTATGATCGAGTTTCCGATAGTAGTGTTCCATTGACGAGTTGTTCATTGACAAACTTGAAACCAAGCAATGCCAATCAAACTGGACTATTTGAAGAAACAAAAAGCACTAAAAAAATTTGTTCAATTTACATAAATCACAATAAGATCAGAGGAAAAAGCAAAACTGATCCACAGCCATCGACATTAATAAAACCACCTGAATCACCGACTAAATCAAATAATTTGAAGATAGCATTTGGATTGGGGACAATAGTCTGCTTAATGGCCTTTGCTGGTGGATTCATGGGATTTAAATTCGCTGCTAAAAAAGGAGTCATTTCATAGACTGTATTAATAATGTAATGTAACTCTTCTTCATAACCTTTTCCGGAATCAATAATGCATTAACACGAGGACTTTTCTGGTTTCTTCTAATTTCTACTATCATTACCATTGCCACTCAAATGAATTATCTCAACAAATCTCTTGATATTTTTGATGCAACTATTGTTACGCCTGTGTATTATGTTTTCTTCACAACTTGTGTTCTTATTGCTTCCTCTATCCTCTTCTCAGAATGTAGCAATATGAAGGTTGAAGATATTATTGGTGTTTTTGTGATCAATATTTTCAAAGACACAAATCTCGGTTCATTTCATGTTTATGAACCGGGTGGAAACTTGAAATTTAAATTCTTCTCTACTTGGGTCTTTTGGGATAATAGTGCCAAGGTGATAGCAACACAATTACAAAGTTTCACTTCTAATAAACATTCTATGTCGAAAAAGTATTATTGTTCAACGAGTGGAACTATCGATCATGACTGATCGTAAATTTATTTTAACTGAATGCAATAAATTCAATGTGAAAACATAGAAATAATGATTGGAAAGTATTAGGTTGTCCGGCTCGGTGTGTCGGGACTTTTATTTTGAATATTTTATCCATTCCTAAATCAATTTAGTCAATTTTTCTAAAATCATGTAAGTAGAGATTCAGAATTTGTTTGACACATATTAAACCCTTTAGACATTGGTAGCTCGAAAGTAATTCGAAAAAAATCGAAAAATGGCAATTTTGTAAATTTCGAGCTTTGAGGCCACATAGCGTTGTTACTGATGAAAAATTTTTCAGAGTCATTCCATTAAATTATAGTAATTGGGTTGATTAAAAATCACTTTTCTCAATTTTTATCCTGATCTCCAAGTTTTCGAGAAATGTTCGATCAAAAAAGTTTCTATCGCGAGAAAATCACAGGGGGGACCCTTAGTTTTTTAGAAAATTTTGAGCCACACGAAATTTCATTTTTTTTATTTTTTCCTAATAAATTTCGAATTAGAAAACGGAGAATTATAAATCATGTGTCATAAAAATTCTGCATCCTTCTTTATATGATTTTCAAAAGAATTGTTTTAATTGATTTGATTATCAATAAAATATTCACATTCAAAGTCCCGACACTCTGAGCCGGACAACCTAATACTTTGGATTTCATCTTGATTTTTTGTTGTAAATGAACTTAACTGTTACTTGTTGTTGAAGGTAGGTGGGTTTTGTGTGAAATAAGATTGTAATAAACAATAGATAACTATCATAGAATCTTTATTGAATGAATAATTGATAAAATTTCAGATGATAAAATGTTGGACATCAATAATTACAGGTCATCAGCGAAAGTATAAATTGACAGAATTAAGGAAACGCAAAGATAAGTATTAATTGAATGTATAACCTAATAGTTCGTTCATATTTATTATACAATATGCTGATCAAAATTGTCACAGTTAATGTTGCAACAAGCTAATATAACCTGTGGGAAGAAATTATGTTACAAATATTTTGAGTCCGAATTTCTCGGAATTGTTTAGGGCTAGAGGGCTGAAATTCTCAGGAAATGAAGATTAACCCTTGGCTAGTACTCTATTTAAATCTGAGGTCAATCTGAGTTTTGGGTCAAAAGTTATTCAGCATGAAGACAAGCAACTTGAAACCAGTGTGCAAAAACTTTTTTGATGTGAATTCTGACAAGCTTTGTCAGAAGCAAATAGTTAAAAAATTTTGTGATTTTGGTGTGAATAGAATGACAGCGAATCGCTGGTATCATTCATTAAAAGAACGATTTTTTGGCCTGATCTCGCATCATCCCATTATTCAGCCAAAACTTTGCAAAAACTTTCTGACCTTTCAATTCAGGTTGTTCCAAAAGCGTGTAATCCCCCTGCAGTTCCTGAATTGAGACCGATTGAAACTTTCTGGAGTCATTTAAAGGCTAAAGTATATGCAGGGGGATTTGTAGCTCAAAATTCGCAAGAACTAATCAATAGGATTAAAAATCAGATTAAAAAATTTGATTCTGCTTACTTCGTACGCCTCATGAAAAACCTTAAATCTAAAGTAGATGAAGCTAGTTCAAAGGGATTAACTTTTATTCGAGAAAACCTCTAACCTTAAGCTATCTTCACCAAAAAATTCCAATCAATTGAAGCAAAAATTAAAGAAATAATTAACTCACAAAAATTTGTAACATAATTTCTTCCCACAGGTTAATCATCTGATTTTAACACATTGTAACCTTAATGTGAATGAGATTAGATTTAGGATGATCTTATGACGCCCCTAGGAGTGCTAATAATTTTTTGAGATAAAATGTTTTAAAACATTAAATCGATTCTTTTTATTGAAATAAAAAAAATAAATATTTCAAATAGCTCATTTCATTGACAACTCAACATTGAAGCTACTTTACACAACTTAAACATCAACTATTGATTCCAAGATGAAAATGTATCTCAAATTTTCTTTTTTCCTTTGTTTCCTTTTCTTACTAATAATTAATTCAATTCTTTGTGATGATTTCAAATGCCCTGAAAGGGGTAAAGTCGACGAATTGAAAGTTCCAAATGTTCTCAGTTTGATTGATAAACAAACAGGTTATCGTGCTTCTGTTGAAATGAGTAATTCGATTTATTATAACACCTTGGTCCATGATTACTTTGACGGGGAAAATAATGTTGGATATATTGACTTGGAGGTAGCCATGAATAAAATGAATCGACATTACTATTATCATTCTACAGAGGAAAAGATTTCAGTTCATGAAAATAAATGTAAAAGATTGGACTTAATACAGACTGAGAAAATTGAATCAATCAAAGATTGGTTTGAACCAAAAGATATTGTCGCTAGTTCAGATATGTTTAAAGATTTGATTCATTTGGGACCAACAGTATTGATGATTTATGCCAACAATATAAGTGATGAAGCTTCATTCGTAGGATCCGAATTGATTGAAGGTCGTACTGTTAATCACTGGTTTTATTGTGCCAATCCTTATGGACCTTACATTGACTTTAATTTGATGTTAAGACATCATTGCCTCATCGGTTCTCGTTGTATTATCCTGAATGGATTACAACTCAGGAAGTCATTTCAGTAAATGAAACTCAAACAGTTAAAAAGCAAGTTGATTCCAAGTCAAAATATGTTTACAACTTTTACATGTTCGAACCGTTGGTCATATCATCAACTGATGTTATTCCATATCCATTGGGTTATGGATGTGCTCGCAAAGGTACTCGTCCATCTACACCTTTACCAGATTTTGGTAAAAGCAAAAAGTTCACTATGGACATGGAAGCGGTACTAACATATCCTGAAGGTGATCCTATCAAATCAACTGCTCGAGTAATCAAAGTGGGCGATGTTATTTCATACAAAATCCAAGAAGGAGTAGATTCCGTTCGTTCTATTGAAATGCCTCCTCCTTTAGGACGACTCCAAGTAGATGAACGCACTGGTCGATGCATTTATCATAATTCTGATTATTCGTCTGATGTTACACTAATCACTCGTTGGCCTTTTCATCAAGATCGTGGCTTCAATCTCTTGTATTATCTGGTAATGAAACCACCTCGAGATCATGCACCAACTTTTATTGGGGAAATACCTTTAGGACCATTGCGAGTGAAGGAATACAGAGTTGCTAACTTCTTCTCGAATAAAGTTGATGCCATTGTTGACTATTATTATGAAAGGAATAGCAGCTTATTTGAACCAAGTAAAGTCATATTCACCCCAGATCGAAATGATTATTATTATGATTCCGTTGATCATCCAACTCAAGTTGAAGTAACAATAATCAATTACTTAGGCTATGGCATTGAATATGGAGATGGATTCGATGTATCTGGTTGTTATGAAGAACCTGGAAGCTTTGTCTGGTTTCAACTCTTCATTTCAAAGCCTAATTTGGACATAGAACACATGGAAGAATATATGCTTCAAAGATTTAAGGAATCCACAGAATCATACTTGGCTTCATTCATTCCAATAACTTGCATTGGTGAAATTCATGCAAAACGAGTTGATTCAGATATATATATTACTGTTAAGCTTTATGAACGTGTGCATTTCATTGAGGCTTATAGTCGTTCGAATCAATATACTATTATGGATCCTTCAAATATTGTGCAAAGATCTAAAGTCGAGGACTGTGAACAACTATGCACTGCGAATCCTGACTGTAATGATTTTAGTTATTGCGAAGATTATACTTGTTCGATTCTTACAAAGTATTATGTCGCCAGGAAGGAATACAAACTAGGCTGCACATTTTACACTAGATCAATAACGGAGGTCACTCGATTCGTTAATGAAAATTATTTGTCAACAATACCACACGTGTTGCAACAGATAAGGAATAAAATCTCAGCAGGCGAATTTAGTGTAGACACAGCATCTATTTATGTTGAAGATTTGTTCATCGTGAATGGACCTGAAGAGATTGGTGACATTTCCCAGGAACTACATGTAAGTGGTTACAGACCAATAAAAGCTGAAGATTTTCCGATGATAATGACTGATCGTCATTTCAATGAAGCACTTTTCAAGATCGAGAAAAGTACTCTTCAAGACTGTTTCATGGCTTGTATGAATGACGATGATTGTAATACACTTTCATATTGTGTTAACCAGAATAAGGAATGTGTTCTGAGTGGAGAAACATTTAATTCACTGAAAGGCTCATTTAAAGATAAAACAAGCCATGCAGATGGATGTAACATCTATCAAAGTAAATATGTCGCATTCATTTGTATTTCTTGAGCTAATTTTATTCTTCTATTTCAATCTAGAATCATTTATGAATCTATTTCATGAGTATCCTGGCAAAAGTCTAGTTCTGGATGTCGTCTCAACCTTATCTAATGTACCAATTGGTGATTGTGCTGAAACATGTGCTCAATCAAATGATTTCAGTTGTGAATCATTTGATTATTGCCAAGATAATTATAAAAGGTAAGTCGAAGCTATCACAGAATATTGCAAGGCTAAAGAACTGATAGCAAAAACTCTTATATTTTAATAAACAGTGCATGAGGATACAGACAGTTATTTAATTATTATTATCATTTTATTATTCATCAATAGCCGCATGAGAAAGATTACAGCTTCCAACTTATGATTTAACCTGACTCAACCTAATATTAATATTAGCGTTATCAATAAGTTTCCGCCTGTTTTAGAAGAGTCTTTCAAGACAATCGATTCTTTTTTCAGTGACCTTTGGGCTTCTTTTTCTATTAGAGCGTGCTATCAACTAATACATATGATGACAAATTATTAATAATGACACTTTTAAAGTTATTAATATAATGCTGTTGGTGAATACATTTATGAATAGTTCTCATGAATTTGAATTTTATTTTTATCCTAAATGAAATATAGAAATGAATCTGTCTGCTTCTTACATGTTAACCACATTGAGATTGATAAAGCTCATCAAATAAATGCAACAAACTGGAAGGCGGCTGAAGCTGGATGTTCCCATTATTCAAGTAAGAACCTTGACTTTAACATAAAATTGTCTAAAATCTAGTTGCTATTCACTAATAATTCAATCTATTACTTTGACAGAAAAATCTGAACTTGATTATGAACATAAAGTTGGACTTGCATTGAAAGAAAATACGAAAGAATCAATTGTTGGAACCTTTGACCATTTAACACTAGAACACTGTGCTTCCAGATGCAATTCAGATCCTAATTGTTTTACTCTCGAGTTTTGTCAATCAATTGACTATAATCAAGTCTCCGATAGTAGTGTATCATTGACGAGTTGTTCATTGACAAACTTGAAACCAGGTAGTCAACCTGGACTATTTGAAGTACCAAAAAGCAACAAAATTTGCTCAATTTATATAAATCACAAAAAGATCACAGACAAAAGTAAAACTGACCCACAACCATCTGCATTAATAATGCCATCTGAAGCACCAACTAATTCGGGCAATTTGAAGATAGCTATTGGATTGGGGACAATAGTCTGCTTAATGGCCTTTGCTGGTGGGTTCATTGGATTTAAATTTGCTATCAAAAAAGGAATCATTTCATAGACTAACTTATCAGAGGAAAACTGAAGATGAATGTTTAAGAATCATTCATTCTTGATTAACATGGTACATACATGCAACATATTTGTGTAAGGACCATTGGCAAATAATTCTTCATTTTTTTAAAGAGAAATTTTTTAATTAAAAGAATTAAACTTTGGTCTCTTTTTGTACAGTTGAGGCGCCAGATTTTTATAATAAACTAACTGTTATTCACTCGGCTTTTGCATATATTCCTAACCCAACAATAAACTATCAAACAATGAACCTGAAACCAAAAGTTTTTCATCAAACACAATGCTAAAAATACGGATTCTGTAGTTTCTCTCACCCTGTTGAAACGCGAATTCCTCAGCAACTGAAATCTGATTGAGCTCTGACTATTTCGGACATGTAGTTTAATTGTATTAGCTTTCAGGCTATGGAAAAATTTCTCATAGAATCCTATCCGTTTCTTCACAATTTTTATACAAAAATTTGATGTTTTCACTTTACATATTGCATATGAGTGTATGGATTAATTAATTATGTGATTTATGTTACAACAAAAAATAAAAAAACAGATTCATTTGCACGCAAAACTTGTCTTCGCTTTAAAACGAATAATATTTATGCTGAAAAGCAAATCGATGTTTAGATAAACAATTTGAACAATTTTTCGGTATCTTCAGACGATTTCTGTAATTGACACATGCATGCTACAAAAAATCAACTAAGGTCTGTTTGGCTTAACAGACTTTGTAAATGCAACGATCAGGACTTTGACTTTTTACCACCATATTTAAATCACTTTTTTCATCACAAAAATTCACCATATTCACACAAACACATATCATTGATGCAAAAAAGAATTTCTGACTTATTTCCACTCGGGTCAAAACTCAGTCTGAACAATTAGCATCGAATTATTTACATTTAGTAGAAATATGAATACTCTAGAATCCTTAAGTTAACAAAATCGCAGGTTTTTTTCATAGTTAGTAGTAAATGCAAGTACCAATAAAATGGAACTTTATTTTTTGAGTGTTGTTTTTTTCAAAAAAATGTGTTCGAGATTCTGACACATAAAAATTAACTTAACTCTGCTCATTCATTCCAATAACTTGCATTGGTGAAACTCATGTGAAACAAGTTGATTCGAATGTATATGTTACTGTTAAGCTTTATGATCGTGTACATTTCATCCAGGCTTATAATCTTTTGTATAAACGTAAAATAATCAATCCTTCAAATACCATGAAATCGATCAGAGAAGTTTAAAAATTGATTGTTAGTTCGGATCAGGTACACTGGCGCTGTCGATAGTTGTTAATAATTTTCTTGGAAAATGATCATGAAATTTGAAAACACAGAAAGCTTGATTGGAAAGGACTTTGGAATTTCATCTTGATTTTTTGTTGTAAATATACTTAAAAAGTTGGTTGTTGAAGTTAGGTGGGTTTTGTGTGAAATAAGATTGTAATAAACAATAGATGATTATCATAATATGTTTAATACATTGAATAATTGTTAAAATGTGAGATGGTAAATTGTTGAGCATCATGAATTACAGGGTATCAGCGAGCGTCTAAATTGACAGAATAAGGGAAACTTAAAGATAAGTATAAATTTAATGTATAATCTAATAGTTCGTTCATATTTATTGTACAATGTGCACATCGATGTTTTTTTATGCTTTTTGATTTCTGATTCAGAGTGGATTCAAAATCTGACCAAATCTGAATTAATTATAGTTAATTCAAACCGATCAAGTCGAAAAATGGCCTTCAGATGTCAATTAGAGGTCAAATGAAGAATTGACCTTGAATAAACTTGAGTGTTCGAGTTTATGGTTGTGCAATCTGCATAATCTCATAGTCCAAATCTGAGTTCTGTAGCAGTAACGGTTCGGCAGTTATGCCTGCATGAAGGCGTGAGTAGTTGGAAACCATACGCTTCCAGCACAAAAGAGACCATACGCTTCGAGCACAAAGTGAAGGTGCAATAAAAAGAAAGAAAATCAAACCTTGATGCTGTTTCAGCACTCAGCAAGTTAAAGAGGTAAATGAAGAAACATGATACTTTTAGAAAGCATTAAAGAATAAGGAAAAATCAAACGCCCGGGGCTTTTATCTTGAGATTAAACAGTTCCTTAATTGCCGTGAACTCGCGAGTTAAGAGATATCATTTGATATACGAGATGAATGAAATCAATTAACTTGCTTGCAAAATTTCCTAATAATTTCATATAGCCCGGGGTAAACATTTTGATTTGAAGATTAGATAAATCATGATGAATTATCTTATCTGATTCAGGTCTCAATAAGGTAAACAAAAATTTGTGGTTTTTTTCCAGAAAAGCACTTAAGATGATGACCGATAAGTTATCTTGATGAAGAATTAGTATATAAACCGAGTTGGATCTTCAGATTTATTCATTAAGTCTTTAGCTTTTGGAATTGATTTTTTCCCAATTTTTCTTAAACATTCTCACTCTCTCTCTCCTACTCTTCTCTCTCCTCTCTCTCTCCATTCATCATACAATGGCCAGCCGTACACCAGCCCCAACAGCACCCTCATCACCAGCCCCAACAGCATCCGCATCAACACCAGACCCAACAGCATCCGCATCAACACCATCGATGCAAGGATCTGCAGCCGTTGGTGACCACCCAATCAAATCGATCAAACGGCGTGGATACATGAACGTGAAAGGTGCTCGGACCCTGGTTGGCGTTGCCGAGTGGGAGGACACCTTAGTAATAATCAAGGATACCAACCAGCTGGAAGCCAACGCAGGTGAGGCGGATGACGCGAGGCCCCTTGGATTGCTACCCTCTGACTTCAAGCTGGTAAAAGCCTTCGACGAAGACGATGTTACCGGTTATACTCGCAAGTACACCTGCCGCTACTGTGGCATAGGCCTCAGCAGCAGGGCTAGTGGTATACGGCATGAGCAGAAGTGCAATGCCGAAGGGGCCCCTGGTCATGTTTGCGTTGTGCCGCCGTGCACGACCGACTGCACCGGTCCATCAGTCTGGACTCGCCCGCCTGATGGCCGATCCGACAGAGCTGCATGAGAGCAGGGCAAAAAATAAATTTTGTGTATTCAACAACAAAATGTATTCAATATGATTTGATACTTAAAATAAATTATTTTGAAAACTTATTTTGCTTCTCTTTTTTTATATTTCGGTGAAAGCGGTCCATTATCAGGTAAGTGAAACGCGTTTTGAATCACAAACCAATTATATATATAAAAAATCCAAAAAAAAAATTTCATTTTTTTCCAAGTTTTACCAGGCATTCTCTATGGGTGACGATACAGTAATGAAACAAAACTTGAAAAAAAAAATTTTTCAAGTTTTGTTTCATTACTGTATTTTTTTTCGATTTATAAGTTTCGAAATGTATTCTCTATCTTTTTTGATATTTTTACTGGCGACTGGTAGGTCAAATCAGGTAAATATCGCATCAGAATAAAAAAAAACTAGTTTTATGCAATTTGAATATGGCAAGTAGCCTCAGACATGAAAAGCAATGCAGAAAGATCACCTGATCACAAATGTGTGAAACCACCATGAAATGATAATTGAAAAGAACAGACAAGCAACCTTATTCTAATAGCAAAAGTTACTAATTGTATATTAATAGAATGTTTAATTTTGAAATTTATGACGATAGGGGTGTAACATACGTGTCAGAAAGAACAAATCATTTCATAAATTTGATACATTGCTTATCATAAATCCTTTTGAATTTCAGCATTCAAGCCAATAGCATCTCCAAAGTACATTTTTCTCATAGTTATAAAAGTTTTTGCTTGGATAGGATAATCAGTAAAGAAGAAGAAGAATAACATTGATTTTTGTACATTTGACAACAGACTAGGAAATTCGGAACATATACGAATGGATTGGCTAAATAATGTATGTATGTATCTACAAATTTTGAGTAATTTTAACCCTGGATTTTATTTTTGCAGCCTGCAGCTGATTTAAACATTCAACACTACTTTGACGAACTTGAAAATCTACATGATGAAGCTGCTAATTTAATCAAGAGGATTGTAGAGTTAGGATTTGATGAAGTTGACAACTATTTATTCAATGTACGTTTCTCCCCAGACAGACAGATAAAAGAGATCCTAAGACGAAAGATGCCTTCTAAATACCATTTAAGCTATCCTTTGGTTTGTCAACTAAATGAAATTGACCTCCTCAGAGTTCAGTATGAAGATATAATCATCAGGATGCAACTTGATTTACCTGTCAATAGACAAATCTGTCTCAATTAAATTTCTAGTTATCTATTTCCTTTCAAAGATCTTTTTATAAAATAATTAATTTCCTTTTTGTTTACACCCTTTAAAATAAATTTTTTCACACAGACAATTGTTTTAACTATTTTATTATATAAATCTATGAGTAATGTATTAAAATTGAGTTAGTTAGTTTTAAAGCTTGACTGAAGCACATTCATCTTTGTTACAGTGAAAATCTTAAGCTATAAAATTAGAAGCTTGACTCAAGCACATTCATATTACCTTAGCTGCAGTAAAAATTTTCATATATCAACATGGACAATTCTGAATCTGTAAGTTCTTGATTAATGTATTTATTGTGTTTCATTTGAACTAAACTTTTTGTTTTATAGAATGTTACCTGCGACTGTTGTCTAGTGGTTTTCGATAGCTTCATCAACTTCTTGACACATAACTGCTCTTGTCTGCGGCCTGATTGTTCAATGATGGAATGGTTAAGAGATTTTTAACCGATCCCTGATCAACAATTGACAAAGTGTCCATCGTGAACATGACTATCATGACTTGGAAGATTATCTTCAACACTCATGTAATAGACCAGGCCAAGAAAGTACAGACATCATTACTGAAGCAATGGCCAATCAAAAAAGTTCTACAAATGAAGTTCCAGATTATGGACATTAATCAAGCGTTCAACCTGAGGCTGGTGTTGGAATCGAAAGCATAGCATCAACAAGCGGCTTCATACCACCAAATAGAATGCAGAAGCGACAAATTCTCATGCCAGACAATGAGGATAAAGACAAAGAAGAAAAAGAAGAAGAAGAAGAAGAAGAAGAAGAAGAAGAAGAAGAAGAAGAAGAAGAAGTAAACAGTGCTGGATCATCAAAGAGAAGGAAAAGTTTTTATTGTAAGACGTGCAAAAAAGGAATAAGCACAAGTGAACGTTTTGTGAAACATTCAAGTGTTTGTGGGCTGTTTTCTACTGCACCAAAAAAAGCTGATAAAACTGTTATTGCGAATTTCATTTTAACAAAAGAAGCTTTCCTGAAAAAATATCGACTTTACCAACGTGAGCTTCTTT